TGATGGATGTCAGCGCGAGCTCGATCCCTCCGTTGCTGCACATCATCTCCAGACCTGCAAACGCCGATCCTCCAAGCTTCCACGGCGCATGACAACCTTACTCGTACGATTCGGTCGATGCTGAACGAAGCTGGTCTTCAGAGCGTCATCGATACAGTCGGGGATCCTCGTTCTCGACGGCAGGTACCCTCCCATCCTCATGGCCGCAAGAACTAGTAGTATAATAAACAAATTCATGTATTTGAAATTCAAGGGGCTTTTGCTATGAGTACAGTACGGTTTCGGACTACTGACCGTGTCATGGACGGCGGTGACAGACATTCCATGGCATTTACTAATGCCCAATTATAAATTAATATCCTTTTAACAAACACTTGTACCTGTTAATTTGATCATAAGCATACAGTTTTTAGTCAATTTTGTACCAGAATGATTTGTACCACTCAGTACTCTTTTATATTTGTTTTAAGCATTTGAGTTCCGGCTTACACGCCTCTTGGCTGCTCTCTTCCCTGTGTACCGGTATGTTTGTCTGATATGGAGGGGGTAGGGTTATTCGTATATTTCGATACACGCTCATGAAATCTTATTAGTGTCAGCCATTGACGAGTGTAGTAAATCTAGCCAATAAGTATTTTTGTTTTCAAATCAAGGAGTCGTATGCCAGCTAGCAACGGCAATCTTTTTTTTCTACACCGGTTGTTTTATATAGATACCTACCCCATGTCTATAGGGTGCCACCGAAACACAGGTCCCCTTGCCCCCGATCAAAAGGCAAATAATTTTCATTAAAATCCTGAGATCTCCATTGCAAGTATCCCTCCCCTCCTCCTTCAATGCTCTTCTCCCTCCCTCCCCTCCCTCCCTGCTCCCCTCCCTTCCTCCCTGCTCCCTCCCTCCCCCCTGCTCCCCTCCCTCCCCGTTGCTTCCCTTTCCCTTGCGCTCCAGTTATAGACACCAACAAATGAATCTTCACCGTCGTGTATCAGCAACAAATGGAATTCAAGGGAGGCGAAGGCAGGAAGATTTCGATACATTCTTGGAGCAGGAAGAGACTTGTGATGAGTCAAAGACACCTCAAGATTTGAAGCTTCGAATGATCCTGCATACGTCAGTTGATGATCGAGACTTGCCCAGGATGTACTGGAAAAAGCCAAGCAGTAATTTGAATATTATTCTTGAGCCTGGCACAGGGGTTCAATATCAGTGTGAAGATCACAGGGGCGTTGAAGTGAATCGACTGGGCATGATCAAATCGCTGCACTCAGATGCACAGGTTGTCGAAGTGTACATCATGTACAATGGAGTCCTCTTGGAACATGTAGACGAAACCATTATAACTAATCGAGTGCCCTGTGTGGCCCTGAAAAGAATTTTGAACAAGGTTGGAAACCGTGATTGTTATCAATCAATTTACAAGGATACGGATGAAATGAATGCTATACCAAAAATGTGTTTCTTCAGCTTTCCTTGCATGTTGGAGCATGCCAACGATGATCTCCACGATAATTTCAGAGTGCATGGGTATATATTTTTTCATGAAGACGACATCGAAAATAATAAATACTGTGAAATCTCTCACTTCTCGATTGCAAACCCGGCACCACTCGTTGAAAAGATGGCGCTAACAACTTTCTGTTCAGCGGCGGAGTACAATCGGATTTGTCGAGATATGACCGAGGTCAAAAAGATGTTCAATCAGTGGTTGAAGTCAAGGAGTAAGACGTTTGAGAAGAATTTTGTTTGTTGTATTCAATTGATTTTCGTTGCTTTCGATTGCTTTACAATTTTTGTTTGTTGTTTTCCATCGCTTTACGTGTGACATGCTCGTCACAAGCCATGTTTATGAACTCCGAAAACCTCAGCATCTTTTCGCTGCCTGTTTCACAACCTCGGAATCATCGCCGTCTTTGTCCAAACCTACATCCGCAAGATGTTCCTATTCGCTTGGGCACCCGCTTGTCTCCATGCTTCTCTTCCCCACAACTGATAAAAACATTACATTCGCAGGAATGATATTCAATGGAGACTCTACCTTATGTCTTAGCTCGCTGGTTCTGATACTGAGAAGTCCTGAGGGAAGTTCATTCACATCCGGCATTCATGGCGTTGAATAGTTCATCGATCTTACACTTGCGATCTATTTGCAATCAAGTTGCCTACACGACTGACATGCCTTATGCTTATGTGCTTGGTTGACACAGAGAGGAGGAAGTATGGGTCTTGTAGAATGCCAACCAAAACAACAATCAATTGCCTAATCAGAGAGATCCTTTACGAGAAACAATCTTGACACCAAACAACTCTACAGTCAGAGATGTGCTCGAAGCTCAAGCATACGAAAGAGGGTTGTGGATGCTTGATCACCAAAAACGAGCAATTCTCCATCTTGCAATGAGCATCAAAAGGATTCGAAAACAGCCCTAGGCTCTGGAATCCATGGCGATGCTGATTCCTACAGCTTCCTTTGAAAAACAAGCTCGAGCTGTTTGAAACGTCGTCTTGCAGTATGCCGCAAAAGTACAAACATTCACACATGATCCAACCTTGGATGGCCTGGAGCTTGAATAAGATGAAAGAGCCATTGGCTGAGAGCCATCTGGGATTCAAATAAACGCCGCCTGCGCCGGCGGGTGCGGATGCAGAGCAATGGGGGAAGGGTAGGGCAGGCGATTTGGTTGGATATGCACCCCCCAGGCGTGTAAAAGCGTGTAAGGTCAAAAATAGTTTTAATGTTTGAAACCTTGTTGTTTGGAGGAAGCAAGAATACTTGTAAACCTAAAACTGCTCGACACGGTCCCCGATTCAAACATACTTTCAACCATTATCGAAGTTTCTGGTACAAATTTTCAGTGCGCCGACCATTCAAAAATCCTGGGCTGAAGTACCCCGCTCGAAAATGATCAAAAGCGAGCATTAGAAAATGCCATGGAATGGAGGCTGCTAGTGGCTGAAACAGGAGAAGAGGGTTGCCAAGGAGGAGAACCCGCCGAAGAAAATGATAAAGTAGGCGAGCATGGAACGAGGGGAATATGGGCTTACTCGCCCTGCGGTCTGCATACTAGTCAGAGACTCTTGTCGCCACTCCATCTCTTCTTCACCCTCTGCGGGATAGTCTGCTCCACTCCAGCAGCGCTCCCTGGACGGCCCCAGTTCTTGGAAGCTCTCATGGCGAGAGCAGGAGGGATCATGAAAGCGAGAGCACACTGCGACGTCACAGCTGTGAGAAAGAGGCTGTGGTGATGGACAAGCGGGGATAGATGGGGGGAAAGGGAGAGGAGGGGGAAAGGGAGAGGAGGAGGAAAGGGAGATCAGGGGAGTGTAGGGCGGGAGGAAGCGAGATCTCCGAGCGCACCTGGCATACTCCTCCGACCAGGTTGCAAATCTTCCCCACATCGTTGATCTGCAAGATGATCTAAGGAAAGGACATCAGATCCCTGTAAGCGTCACCTGCGCGATGAGGAACGCAGTCGATATCAACATCGTCCTGATCAACAGCCTTTGAACCAGAGAGTTTCTTGTTTCACTGCAGCACTCTCACAGACTGCATGCTCGTTGAAGCAGAGGGAAGGTCTCACCTTCCCAGGATGGCGTTCTCAACGATCTCTCGAGACGATGTGAGCATGACCGGATAGCTGACGAGCATGTCCAGAACGAGCGAAAGCTTCACCCACGTCAAGAACGACCCATTGCCTGTTGACCGCTCGTCAGTCCCTTCTCTCCGCTCAAATGCTGAAGTCCGCACCTAGATTGTCAAGTACGACCGACGATGTCTCTTCTCCGAAGAAGAGAAAACCCAACACACCAAATAGAGAGTTGGCCAGCTGCCGGGAAGAACGGGAAGAACGTCAATGGTTATTTGGGAGTTGCCAGTAGAGCCATCAGTCTCACAATGCAGGCAAAGGTCGCTCTGTCAAGGACTTCAGGAAATGCTTGTCTGTTCTTCATACTCCTCTCGATTGGCAGGACAGCGAAGTGAACACTGTTTGGAACAAACTCAGATATGGACAGATCAAGACCACTCTCCCAACCAGAACAGGAGAGGAATCACTCCAAACGATCGGAAGTACTAGATTGTCCTGTCAGGAGAGACGTCTCTAGCAAGACTTGGTGCAAACCTCTACAGGCGATGTGAAGAGGGGTAGGGTGAAAAGCCTTTCAAAAATATCCGGAGTGACGGAAAATCCGTACCTGACAGGAGGCGATCAAACTGAAATGACTGGAAGGAGGCGCAAGCAGCATCCCATTGACTCACCAGCAAGTCGCGCCAACACCAACCGTCAAAGCCCCAGCCCCAAGATAGGCAACGGTGGAGAGGAAGCGGGAGCTATGGAATGTTTGAGTAGGTGGAAAGCGAACGTAAGATCAACGCACTTGCTCGCGAGGGCATTCATGGGGAGAATGAGAGCAGCAGCCGCCAGTTGAAAACTGAAGGAAAATGTCATGAGCGAGCTCTGTAGCACATGTTTGTGCTGACCCGTTCGAGGAAAGTTCTGGAACTAGGCTGTGAATGATGTTGCCCTGCGAGGCCACGTATCATACGTTGAAGTTCGAGGCACAAAGGAGCGGGTTGAAAACACCTCAGACGAGGAAAGCGAAGAAAGAGTTGTTCCAATGAAAGCGGAGTATGCCGCACAAATACCCTGTTGGCAAAAGACTCAACCTTGAGTTCACCGGGTTCGTTCTCACCAGGCTGTTGACCAGCGTCATTCCGAAGACGGCGGTGCCCCTGGAAGGAGGGACGTGTCAGCACTTGCAAGCATGCTGAAACAAGAGCTACCCCAAGACCCCGAACGCATGCTTGGCGACATCGACATAGGTCAAATCATCTCGGCCGGTCTCCACTGAAACAGCGTCCTTCGCCCCGATCACGTGCGTCACATGCCTTGCACAGGCTGAGCGCATCGTGTACCCGATACTCCACCAGCTGCTTGACGGTGAAGGAGCTGAGAATCCCGACCAGCACGATCTTGAGGAATGATCAGCTCGATCTCTTTATGGTCCTCATTACCGTAAGCGTTCCTCCCAGCAATCCCTGGTTCTTGATGCACCATGGCATCAGCAGCGGGGCGACTCCACCCACAATGACTTTGACCTGGAGCACAAGAACACCTTGAGCAAGAGCTGGAGATCAGGCCCTCCCTCGCAGACTCACCGTCGTGACCAAAGTACTCAGATCGGATTCTGTACCTGGCTTCTGAAACGACTCCACCTAGCCGCAGGGTATGAGGAAGAGGAGGAAGCTCGCACACGGTCATTCACATCAACACAGTAGAACCCGGAGCATTGAACCTTGACAACCTGCACACCGTCTGCTCGCTGCAACACCTGCCATCAACACTTAGATCCTTGCATGCCTGCGGTCCCCTACCTTGGTGCCGTCTCTTCTCTCAAGAACCTTGGTTCCATCGCCGCTCTTGTACATCTCGCCCGTGAAAATCGCATCATCGTATGGAGCCAAGGGATCCTTCTCTCTTCCTCCAGCCTTTTCCTCCCCGCCCCCTCCCATACACCTGATGCTTACACCCCTGCAATGGAGTGGCCGTAAAAGGCCGCCCGGGTTCCCGAACCACGTGGGAGGAGGGCGGGAGATGTAGGAGGAGCTTCTGAGGCAAGTCAGGCTTCCTCTTCCCCCGCAAGACATTCCATGCGGCATGACCAGCGCCTGCGCCCCTCCCAGCATCAGCATCATGCTAGTGCACCGCTCCATGATCGCTCCCCGTTTATCACCCCCACCCCCTCACATATGTGTTCACCCCTGGTTTCCCCTATTATCACCCCTATAACATGTGGAGACTTCGCTTTCACCACCCCACCCCGTTGTGTCATTCACCCTTGTACCTCAACTCTCCGCGTCCCATGCATGCATTTAGGTTATCTATTTTACTTCTCATTTACTGTTTTAGCTTAAATCATTTCCTCCATCCACAACGGTATCGTAACGGTCAAGCTCCGTTTGGGTCCCGCTGCAACCGTCCGCAACGGACCGACCGAAATAGATCATGGCAGCACATCGGAGATATTAGAGGAGGCGACAAACTTTGAGGATCATGGCGAAGAGACGAACATAGCGAGGGTTGGACTGAAAGATACTGACCGAATCGCTCCATCTCTTCGTGGAAGGTGAGTTTGATGCTCATGTTTAGTTCTGCGATCCGTTGTCTGAGTTTCCTCCGAAACGATTACATGCTGATTTTTGCGTCGATACAGGAACATGCTGCGTCTAGTGGGCATAGCATGCTTATCAACCTGCCTGATCGCATTGATCTCTTATGTGTGCATTTCAAACCCAAAGGTTGAGCTGGTTTCAGCATACTCTAGAGCTGTCCGGATCATTGCAGAAGGGCACCTCCAAGCCAAGCAAGGGCAGTACAGCGAGGCTGCTGCAAGCTTTCTGAAAGCAAAAGATCTGTGGAAGAGGAGTGGAAAGCCTGGATGGCAGTCGGCCGAGAGCCTCGCAGACGCTGCGGTAGACAAGAACCCAGCAGCGCTGAAAGATGGAATGTGGATGGTCAGAGCTCTTACCAGACAACAGCATCAGCAGGAGAGAAGAGGAGGTAAGGTGTTGACCCGGAGGACAGCACCTGCTCCTCGAACTCAGATGCATGCGAAGCTAAGTCCCCCCCCACCCGTCCCGTCGGACTCGCGACCTCGTCCGAGCATCAGGAGTCCAGCAGTGGCGCTGCCAAGGCTGGCGCCTCTTGGACAGCAGCTGGAGGAGAGCTCGAGAGGGAAGCCAGCTGAAGAGGACATGCCCACGTTCGACATCAAGACCTCACAGCCGGCTGATCAGAGCGACTGGACGCTCAAGTGGAACAGGAAGAGCAACCCGGTGGAAGCCGGGAAGATGGACGACAAGAGGTGGGGCGTAGTGGAGCACCTCTGGCCCAAGGGGAACCCGCAGAAAGAAGTTTTCCCAGAGGTTCCCTACTATGAGAGGAAGCAAGCTCAAGCCTACCGCTACCCTGCTCCTTCCCGCGCTGTCTCTCCTCCTCAACAAGGCCCGCCTTATTCTCCTCCTGCCTCCCAGTCTGCTGCATTCCCGCCGCTCCCTGCAGAGCAGGGCGGGGGTCAAAATCTCCCTCCACAGTCAGCGCCGTTCTCACCTCAGGTCGTTTCATCGTGGTATGGCTCGATCTTGCATCGTCTCTGACTTGCTCCAGCAGGTTCCTCCTCAGCAGGTTTGGATTATATATGTCCATGAACTTTCTTGTCATTCTCACTGCTGACTTGTTGTTGCTCTCTTTCTTCTGCAGCCTCAAAATGCATCAGTATCTGTCGACTGCTCGCCTTGTCCACAAGGACAGTATGAGCTCGCTCCGTGCTCGGCAGTTTCCGACCGCATCTGTAGCCCTTGCTCGGCATGTCCTACGGGGTATTGGAACTCACAGAACTGCTCCAAGAGGAAGGACACGCAATGCTCGCCATGCAGCGCTTGTCCTGTCGGCTACTTTGCAAGGCAGACCTGCGGTCGCAGTGCGGATGTCGCCTGCGCCTCCTGCTCCTCCTGCCAGGTTGGGACCTACATGACCTCGCCGTGCAGCAGCGAACGAGACACGCAGTGCGCCAACTGCTCGTCCGCCCCCTGCCCGCAGGGCTTCTTTCAAGTAGAAGAGTGCTCCCCCATGTCAGACAAGATGTGCAGGTCGTGCAGCATGTGCGGCAGCACGCAGTACACCCTCGCCTCCTGCACCAGCATGGAGGACACTGTGTGCGGCGAATGCTCCAACCTGCCCTGCCCGGATGGATACTACAGGTGATGTTCGTGTTGTTCGAACGGAAGGGCTGTAGGTTGACAGGCTGTGATAGGGCTGGTTGTGGGTACGGACAGGCAGGAAAGTGTGAGGGTCCGTTGCCGCATTGGAGCCCTGTGCTCTCCACTCCTCCCCCTCCCCCGCCCCCGATCCACAAGGCGGCTCCTATAGATCTCACAGTCCCAAAGCTTCCTCCTCTGCTTCCTCGTCTCCCAGGACTGAAGGTCTGCTGGGATTTGGCATCTGCTCTCCCCTCACTTCATCGCTCAGTTGATTTTCCCTGACAACTCCGATTGGAACGCCAAGAGCACCTATGACGAATATGTCCTCCCTGCTCCTCCAGTCAAATGGAAGGGATACCAACCTGGGCAGGTCGAAAGAGGAGGAGAGGAGGAGGGAGAGATGTGGAGGGAGAGAAGGGGAGGGGAGGGGAGGCAAGAAGAGGAAGGAGGGAGAGGAGGATGAAAAAGGAGCCTACGGAGAAGACAGAGCTGACTCGTGCTTGCCTTCAGAGTTTTTCATCGCGGGGATGGTCATGGCTGCCGAAGCTGAGCCCAACGATCGAGGACTCCTGGCAGATGGGGGCAGCGAAAGTGCCGGAAGGCTTCACGTCGCGGGTGCTGTGGCACAGTCCTCGTGGTTGAGGGGGGCTGATGGAGGTGGCAGGCGATCATCGCTCCTCTTCACGACCTCGTCAAGGGGGTTCAGACCGCAGCACCTGCTGGGTCAGACCAGGTTGAGAGCAGCAGCCCAGCACCTCTCGTTGCCTCTCAGCAGTCGCCACCTCCTCCGAGCGACTCCGGCGAGAGCTCCACCGTAACGCGCGAGGAGTTCAACGAGATGGTGATTTTCCTCCTCCCCTCTCTTTCTTCACCGGACTTGAACGTTCTTCATTGTCCCCCCTCCCACCAACTGCCCTTGTCGTTCCTCCTTGTTACGCCTCGCGCATCCTCCTCTGGTCTCCATCATCTAGAGCGGTCGATTGACTCGAAAGCAGGAGAAGCGACTGGATAACTTAGAGGATGCGATCAAGCAGCGATCGTCGCAGATCTCTCAGCAGGTTTCCATCGCAGCCTCGAGTCCTCTCCGTGACCTCCCTGAACAGCAGGATGAACCTTCCTCTACCTCTCCTTCCTCATCCTCCTCCGCTGCCTCTGAGACGGACGAGGCCAAGGCCAAGGTAGAGTTGTCCTCCACCGCAACTTCCTCCTGTTGATGGATGAGGCAGGAGCTCAAACGCCTTCTCGGTGATCTTGGCAAGATGGTCCAAGGAGGGGACAGCGCTTTCGATCACAACGCAGTAGAAGATTTCCTGGGGAAGGGGGAGGAGAGCAGCGGAGGAGGGGAGGAGAGCTCCGTCGCTCGCGCAGCTCAGAAACCTTTCGTTATCGGGCAAGTAGCTCCCCAGCCAGTGCCAACTCAGATGCCACCCAAGAACCTTGTCACGGGGCCAGGCTTCCGAATCGACAGGTGGGCAGAAAGCGAAGGAAGGGGAAGGTGGAGAGGGAGGAGGAGAAGGAGGGGGAAGGAGATGGAGGAGGCTGACGGTCTTGCAGGAATGGCATGGATTCTGTGGTGCCTCTTGCTAATCCCTTCGAAGAAGGGGAGGGGGATGGGGATGGGGAGGAGCGCGGCAGGGAAGAGCCTCAAGGTACTACTAGAGCTCGCTGTGCCGCAAGCCCCTTGACGAGGATGCAGAAGTCTCGCCGTCGCGGAACTACTGGGAGGAGCAGTAGCGTATTCCCGTTAGCTTATTCCTTATGTTATTCTTTCACCTTCCGGCCAGCGCCGGTTTCATGTTACATGCTCTCCTCCCCTCACCCGCTCACCGATGGGGAGAGACCAGCTTTCATGACTTCCCCCACGCGGGGTCGTCGAGGCGATCGGCGAGCTCAGCAATGTTGTTGGTCAGCTGCATCGTCTGTCAGTCGCGCAAGGAGACAAGGAGGTTGAGCACCTGCTTGAGGGTATCCCCTTGGATTTCGTACGCCAGCCTCCCTCCTTCTAGCTTCCCTTCCTGCTCCTCCCCGTCAGCCTCCTCCCCCTTCAACGCTCGTCACCTTCATCGAGCAGAAAGGAATCCCGTGCTCAGCCGCTGCCAGACCTGCGCAGATTCTTCATCCCTTCTCCGACATTGCGCTCGCATCCTACCAGTCACTCCGAATGTTCGCATGCACATTGTAGAGGCTCCAGCGAAGTCATCAATGTCGGAGCGATCTGAGGCAACTTGAGCGTCTACCTTCTGACTCCTCTGAGTCTCTTTCCCTCCATCTCTCTTGCCCTTCCCTTCCTCCTTGTCCTCTCTTCCTCTACTCCGACATGCTCTCAGCAGCCCTGGTCTCCTGCGTCTCAACCCCTCCCCCCCTCCTCCACTCCCACGTCCAACTCTCTCCCACGGACTGTACCAGCAGGCGGTGCGTTGTAGAAGAGATCAGGGTACGTCATGGCCACCTGCCATCGTCCTCAACTCCTCTGTCCCTCCGCCTCCTCGCTCACCTCCGCCACGAGCCCATTGAGCATACCGATTATCCCCTGAGCTGCTTTGGTGGGCGTGAGGAGCCCGGAGACCTGACGGTCTGGTCAGTGTGGAAGGTCGCAACTTCCAGCAGGCACCGAGCTCGGGCTGTTCTTGTGTACGTCGATCTCGTTCCAGATGAAGAGCTGAGAACAAACAGTCAGGGAACATGTTCTTGCCTCCCCCTCCCGCCCTCCTCTCCCTCCCTCCTCCTACCTGGACACAGCTTCGCACCTCGCCGCTCTGCAAGTGTTTCATGGAGGGTCAGAAGCAGGAGCAGGAGGAGAAGGCCAGAGGAGGGGAGGGAAACCTGTCTTGCGAGGTAAAGCTCTTCCATCATAGGGATACATCTAGAAAGACGTCAGGAGGGAGGCGATCGGTCTTTTCATGCGACCGATTCGAGAAATCATTCAAGTTTGTCTGCGTAGGGGGACAGCCAAGAGCTCAGTAGAGGAGGAGCCGTCGACGTCATCCCGTACCTTGAGCGGTATAATGCACTTGTCGCACAGCGCGTGGGCGATCTTGGTGTAATCGCTGAAGCCCTTGTGGTAGAGCAGATGAACCAAAACACGCAAGGGCGTTAGAACTCACCTGATCACCGTCAGTGTCGCATATCAGCCTCCACGACGTCGAGCTCTTGTCTAGATACTGCCACACGTTGATACCGCCATCAGTACCAGTCGCATACAGCGAGACTTGCTCTACCTTCCGGATGGTGTCGGCGATGGCTTGTCGCTGCTGTTGAGGAAACGAAGTCTGGGGGCCACTTCCTCCCAGACACAGGAAGACGTTCTCCGGAATACACGAGTTGAAGTCGTGAACTTTCACAACAGTCTGGAAAGAGAATGAGTGAAGTGAGCGATGCAAGTGGGATGGTAAGGTAGGAGACGAGAGGACAGAAAGAGTCTCGTACAAGACAACCTTGTCGATGTCAAGCAGGGAATCATCTCCGTCGGCATCTTTCCCTTCCTTTGCGAGTATCTTCCCCAGTGCCGCGCGAATGGTAGAGGAAGGGGTCCCGTAGGTCACTCCCTCGGCTGCATGGATAGCAGCAGCTTGATGGAACAGCTTGGTGGTGCTGCGAAGATGAGCCAGGGCCTTCACTGCCTGCTTCCCAGAGGCTCCCTTGTCTCCTCCCAGAAGCAGCTCCGACAAGTCTCCTCGCAGAGTCGTGTCGATCACCAGCACCTGGTCGTCCTTGTGCCGCCTGGCGTACTCTGCGCAAGTGTGGAACAAGATGGTCGTCTTGCCGCATCCACCCTTGTGGTTTGAGAAGAGGTGGGAGCTCAACAATGCTGACCGGCATGGCTCCAAGCTCATCGCCAGCAGCATGGCTGCCAACGTACGTCAGGCAAGGTGAAGCAAGGGGCAATATCACGCCTCTGCTCTTGCACAACATCAAAGCCTCTGCATGTAATCCTCTTCCACCCCCGCCCGCAAAAATCATCTTTCTTCTCTGCTCCCTCTCCTCTCTCCTCTCTCCTCTCTCCTCTCTCCTCTCTCCTCTCTCCTCTCCTCTCACCTGCCATCAACCTGGAAGTCGCCATGGCGACCCCACTGTTATCGCTTGAGGCGCAACACGAAGTCCAACGGGTCTGCCTCAGGATAGCGAACTTTCAATAGACAAGTGAAGGGGCCCTGATTGTGACCAGCACGAACTTGAAGACTTGACAGTGTTGGAGGAGAGAGGGAGAGAGGGAGGGAGGGAGAGAGAGGGAGGGAGGGAGGGAGGGAGAGGGAGAGAGAGAGGGAGGGAGGGAGGGGGAGGGAGGCCCGGAGCGGGAGAGAGGGGAGAGATCTACATGAATCTCTGACGTGAAAACATCGAGATCATTCATTTCTACCCTGACCTGTTTAAGATGACCCTCCTTTCGAACCTACTGAAATTTGCCTTGTCCTTCGGCTGATTATCATCGACCTCCCACTTGCCTCCTCCCCTGGCCTTCATTCGAGCTCTTTTGCCGGCATCTTCGTTCCATCACATCTCGTTAACTGAGTGCAGAGCAAGAGCTTCAGTCCTTTCATCTCTGTTGCCTCCAAGTCCATATGGATGGGACGCACAGACGTCCTTGAGAATGAGAGACAGTCCAACTTCACCGTCGCTTAGACCATATTCTTCTTCTTCTTGATGTTCTTCTTCTTGATGTTCTTCTTCTTCTTCTTCTTCTTCTTCTTCTTCTTCTTCTTCTTCTTCTTCTTCTTCTTCTTCTTCTTCTTCTTCTTCTTCTGCTGTTCAGAGGCTGGGGCTGCTGGTGCACATCGCTGACTGGGAACGTGCACTTCAACGAACAGGATGGGCCCAGGGAGCACCTTGATCAGTTCGCTCACTGACGCACCTTGAAAACTTCGAGCCCTCGCTCAGGACCTGAGCAGCCGTCAAGGCTGTCGACAGGTTATCTGTGCGAAGGTAGAACGCCCTCGGGTCATCATGGATAAAGAGATGGTGCAGCGGATACCAGACGGAGCCCTGGCAGATGTCCGGATCGTAGGAAAGGAAAAACTTCTTGCCCAGGAAAAGGAACGCGATCATCCAAGAGAAAGTTCCCTCAGACCCAATGAAATACTCGGCATGCAACCCCAGGAGAAAGTCGAGGTACGGACTCTGACCGTGTATGGTCCCGCCATAATGCTGTACGAGGTGCTGGACTACAGGGTTCCTCTCCTGATCCGGCTCTGTGACTATCCACAGGTTGCTCTCCGGAGTCGTCAGCTTGTCGAGTATAGAAGTGTAGTAAGTCAATGGCGGATTTCGGATCGGTGTACCATAATCTACTTCAAGACGGCGGAAGTGCACAACGATCATGTTGGGAACAAACTTCTTCTCTCTTCCGACAAAGATTTGCCATGCCAGCTCTCTGGACGACGCGAAGAAGAGGTAGTTCTGGTTCCACAGCCCGTTCTCAACGGGGATGTATGCGCGATCCTCGTCATCAACAGGGTCAAACGTGATGCCGGGACATTGCTTGAGTAACCCAAAGTCATGAAGGACGCGCAAGCCATACCCATGGGTGTCTGCGAGCAAGCGAGCGTAGAGGTATTGGATCATGTGGTTACACATCCTCCCGTCCCATCGCATCAGCACGCTCCTCCTCTTTCCTCTCAACTCAGCTGCTGAGATTGCCTCCTTGTAAGTGCAGAGGCTGGGCCGACCACCCTCCGAAGCACTCTTCTCCTCGCCTTTCGCTCTTGCCGAGCTGACGTTGGCGGGAGGAGCAGTGGGGCAGAGCCGTTGGTTCCCCGGAACGCAGGACGAGACAGACTCCTCCCAGCTCAAGCATAGATCCTCCAGCCGTTTCACTTCCCCTTGTTCTATGTAGCAAACTTTGTCCATCTTCCTGCAGGCGTACCGCACCTCTTCCCTAAAGCAGGTCGGGACTTGTTTGGTGTGCTCAACCTTGCCGTACTTGCTTGCAACCTCTCGGCAGCCCGTCAACAGCTCGCAGTCCTTTCTAGCAAAGAGATAGAACATGAGGCGGTCAAAGAGGCCTGAAGATTTGCGTAACGAACGCAAGCAATGCTCCCTTGCTGTTGTCAGGCACAGAAACCGCCCCTCACTACATCTTCCCCAACTGTAGCTGCCATTCAAGCAGAAGCGCGACGGGCTGGGGGTCAGCGGGTCAGCGACAAGGCTTCCATGGACTGACGTGCAGCTGTACTTCGCCAGCGCCATGGCGCCGCCCGCCCTCCTCCGCATCATCCGCACATTCTCAAATTTATCAGGCGAGGTGAAGAACCATTCCGAGAGCGCGAGGTTGGGATCTTCGAACCATGATCGCATCTGAGAGAGCCGTACCTCCATCAGCATGCCGAGGAGAACCTGAAACAGGACGAGACAACCGAATGCACACGGCGCTCTCCCCATCCTCCCCGACCGCCTCCCCCTGGCCGCCACCATCCCTTCTATAAAGTAGCATGACCGCGTAAGTTGGCAGACCACAGCCACAAACTTGTGCTCCTGCTTGTGCTCCCAGTTGTGCTCCACGCTTCTCGACCTGCTGCTGCTGCTGCTGCTGCTGCTGCTGCTACTGCTGCTGCTGCTGCTGCTGCTGCTGCTGCTGCTGCTGCTGCTGCTGCTGCTGCTGCTGCTCTGCTCATACCCCGCACCTTGATCCTCTTGATAGATGGTTACCTCTCCCCGTCTCTAGTTTCATGTGTAGACGAGGAGCCTTCTCTGCCCTTCCCTTCTCCTCCCCTCCCCTGTTCTCTTCTGCTGGCCATCCCACACAACCGAACTCTTGCTCCGCGCGTCTCAACTCATCTAGTAGTGCAAGCAAAGTGGAGGGAGAACCGACAATGCTCGAACACATGCAATGCCATGGCAGACGACATTGCCCAGTTGATTGATGCAGCCAGCAAGAACGAGGAGATGGTACGAGGAAGCAGAAAGAGAAGAATTTCATGGGTATAAGCAGCCCAGTGGTGAGACTCTCTCCTACCTCATGAGGATCAGCGCAAGCATGAAGCCGCGACGGAAAGACATTCCGCATCCTCCTACTGGTCTTCAACCTGCCGCTTCCTCGATCCCCCGACCTCACCCAACCCAGTCAGGATGGTCGGCGCCGTGATGGTCTTGCCCTTGCAGGCCTCCTCTAGACCTTCGCCCCTGCCATTGTCCCCTCAATCGCTGAATGCAAGATCAGGAGGGGCAAGAACCTGTAGGAGAGGAGCGGCGACACCTCTACAGGCCCGTCGCCCTCGATCTTCCCACCTGCTTCTTGCACGTACTTGCGCCCAAGATTGAGCAAGAGAGCACGAGCAGTGTCGGGAGAGTCCACGGAGGATCCTGAGGACAGGTCAGCAGGAGGCATCAGGGCTCTAGTCGCTTGCCGGGAGCATTCTTCACGGGGCCAAACTCTTCCTCACGGATGACCTGACGGTGCATGAAGGTTCAGCTCGAGGAGAGGGCACGAGGCACGGACCTCTGCGCACGCAAACGATTTGCTGTGAGGGAAGCAGTCAAAGATGAATTGCTCGAGCTTGATGCCGTTGTTTACTTGCGGGGTGACGTGTTGGCCTGGGCGAGCTCAGCGGAGGAGAGGAGGAGAAAGGATCCTCACCCGTTTCATCGATACAGGGGATCTTCTTCTTGGCGATGTGATAGGGAGTCAACAGCTCAGCAGCCATGTCAAGGAAGTCAACAGTGTAGAAATGATTGCCTGCAAACAGAGTCATCTCTCCGAGCTCGCCTTCCTCCTTCACTCACAAATGTTCCCCGCGTTTAACCTCAGCGCCCCTGTGGAAGGATCGATCTCTCGCGCTGCCTCCTGTGAGATCTCGCTGTACTCCACAACCTTGGCTCCTCCCTCTTCTGCGCCCTCCGTCATGTTCGCCAGATCAACCAACGGGGTGCAAACCGGCAGCGCAGAGGACACCAACGGCTTCATCAGGTCCAGCTTTGGCAACAACCTGCAAAACACTTCAGCTTCTTTGACAATCGGAGTTGTATCATGCACCTTAGCTCCACAATCAGCATTCTTTTCGATGCAGTATCCTACAACAACCGTGTAAGTGCAATTCCAAATTCGTGGATCCACTCTCTTCGATCATCGGCGGCATTAGGTCAAACATTTCACCAGCATGGCGAGGAAGAGGAGGGGCAGACTGGATCAGATACAGTGATAAGTTTCTCACCGATGAAGAGCGGATCTGCGGGAAGGACGAGAGCATTGTCTACAGAGCTGCAATGTACGTAGCTCACGCCGCGATCCCGCATGTCCTTCAAGGCTCCTGAGCTCTTCAGCGCACGATAGATACCGCCGTTGCCATCAGGAGCCCTTGCAACCTGCACGTCGCGTCATCCCATCCCTGAACAGGCTGTCGAAGGATTGAAAGGAATCTACATAGTTGGCTCTACCTGACTCGTCGACTCCATGAGGATGTTCCCGGAGAGGTCGAGGCAGGGGAGCGTGCCCTGCTGGAAGAAGAAGACATCGGCCGCCTTCAGCCCGAAGAAGTTGTGCTTCACAAAGAAGGATCTCGTCTGCTCGTCTGTCATCGGGCTAGTCATCACGTACCAGGGGATGGGGGGAGCCTCCCTCCCGCTGATCTCCCGCAGCCTCGTCAGCCTCTCGGCCATCAGCTGGAAGAGGGACTTCTTCGACGGCAGCCCTATGTCGTAGCATCCCTTGGGCTCTGTCGTGCCCAGTCGCGTCCCTTGCCCCCCTGCCAGGAGCAAGTATCCAACCTTCCCCGAGTTGATCAACGACAGTCCCTTGCTGACGTAGTCACTGCGCATCTGTGCTGACAGGCGAGAGAAGTTCGCCACTTCAGGGAGCGGGTCGACCATTGAGAGCTTGCTGGTGTTGGAAGCATCTTGCACGGAGAGCTTGTACGTCTCGAGGACGCGCTTCACATCGATCTGCTCCAACTGCTCCACCAGGCTTGCCAGCTCAGCCTGTAATAGAGCGAAGCTCTCAGAGCCGTCTGGTTGGGCTTGCATGGCACGGGCAGCAAGGCAGGCGCCTCCTCCTCTTGTCTCACCTCTGAAAGTTTCTCGACATGTCGCAGCACATGCGCTTGTCCTGCTCCCTCGTAAGTCGCTCGCACCTGCGCAAGTCTCGCCTGCATTGGCCAGGGATTTCCCTATCAACGCCCACCACCCCACCCAGCTCTCCACCTCTACCACCCCACCCCAGCCGGACAAGCCAAGTGTACCCCTTTCACATCCTTCAAACCACCCACCCAGTACAGCCGATTTAATGGCGGAGAGTTACATCGATCAGCCGATGCATCCCCTCGGTGAACTCCTCCCTCCTCCCTCCTCCTCCTCCCTCCCTCTCACTGTCTGATCTGTCCTTCCTCTCCCCTCGCTCCAGACTTCTTCGCAAGGCTGCCGCTGTATCCACGTCTTCTTGAGGAGCCTGGGGAAGACAAGACCAGGATGACACAGCCTGATTGAGAGAAGGAGGAGGAGGAGGAGGAGAAGGAGGAGGAGAAGGAAGATGTTCGCTTGGAGCAGGAGATATATAACTCTTGTCATCTGTGCTGTCCTGAGCGTTCGGCGCGGCATCTGAGACAGGAACCCATGTCGATAAAGCATCGCAAGACAGAAGCTGCCTTGTCGTCCAAGTCAAACAAGGAGACCGAGCAAGGTGAACACGATGCTTCTTCTCCCACTCACCTGACGCTCGTGATGTGATCTCCAAGCTCTGCAATTGTTATGGAAGGAGTCGGGAGGTACGGTGCATTTCTCAGTGCTTTGTCGCCTGAGCTTGTTGACCAGTCAAGGATTACGTGTTGAAGTACAACTTGACAACGAAGGAAAGAATCAGCGTGAGCTCGCTCTAACTGACGGGAGAACATCCGAGAGTGCTGAGTTGAACCCGCAGAGAGCTCCCTCCAAGGGGAAATCCTCGACCCAGACGGTTTATTCTGACAGGGAAGAAGCGACGAAGGGGACAACTGCAGGAAAGTTCTGCAAGGTCGACAAGGAAGCTACGTATGAAGCCATTCAATCCACGTGGATCAATCGCGCGAAGAGAGGTAGTCCTGACGGCAGTGCATGCTGTGCTGAGCTAGGAGGACAGATGTCGTGTCGGTGTGCGAGACCATCAATCAGCTGTTGGACCACCCGATCATGTCGAGTGAAGATCAGAAAGCTGTCATCTTGATACAGAAGTGCGTCAGGTGAGGGCAGGAGGGAGGGGGCCGCTGTCTACTGGTGATGGTGAGGGTGTAGGGGCTGGTTGCTGCGGACAAGGCGAGCGAGAGGGGAGCTGTTTCCTGTCGAGGAGCAGGTGACGCAGATCGCTAGGTCGTCAGATTTGAGGCCAAGCTGAACTTGCCGTCTGCAGGCCATGGCAGACAGCCGCGTCATGCTCTCCATCTATGGAGCCAAGGTTTTCTCACTGGCACCCAGAGAGAGGTGGAGGAGAGCGTTCAAGGTCAAAGTGGTCTGAACAAGATCTTGCAGGAGGATGCTGGTGGTGGAGCACTTCGCTTCAAGGAAAATCGTCAGGGCTCTCCGAAAGTTCTGTGCTGCCATGTGATGTTGGCACGTCTGGTCCGGGTTGATCAACATGACTGGATGTTACAGAAGTAAGAGGAACAAGTGTTCTTCTGCTGAGATCTCTGCCGCCATCAAGATACAGGTGATCTACCTCTCACTCCTCTACCTCTCACTCCTGAGAGCCGTTCTTTGCTTGACTGCTTCTAGAAAACTCTTCGCGGCCACTGGTCGAGGAAGTTCGTCAGATTGAACAAGCGGCATCTCACCCGCGCTACTTCTTTCCTCGAGGTGACTAGTCGCGTCTCTGCCTTTCTCTTCTCATGCTTGTCAAAGTTCCGGGCCAGCGAGTTCACCTCCATCTCAAGAGACTATCTCAACAGGCTCTTTCGATGCCCTCCCGCTCCCCCCCGGCTGACCAGCTGCAGGTTACAAGCCCTTGCTGCTTGTCGCTTGCAGACGTCGATACGACGACACTCGGCTGTGTAAGAAGAGCATCGTGCTTCTGGTCCTGGCAGTGACTGTCTGCGCAGCCAGACTATCGACAAGGAAAGGAGAAGGAGAGCAGCAGCCATCACGATCCTCCAGTCTCAGGTGTGCATGACCAGGGGTGGTTGAGAGGATGACGTGCGGCAGACTCGAGCTCACATCGCAAGAAGCTCTTACGACAAGACGTTGTGCAATCAGCTGACTCGGCGAATCCTGAGGTCTCGTCTTCGAGGTTAAGAGAGCCAGTGAGGTTCGTTGGCAGACATTGGAACAAGATCATGTGGACAATGTGTTCTCCCGAGAGGTATCTGGTGCGAGAGGCGAAGCGAATGGTAAGCCCGTCGTGCCGGTCCCGTCAACCGACCCCGACCTGATGTGCTACAGGGGAAGGCGGCGGTGGACGACAGCATGATTGCCACATGCATGGGAGGTGAGGAGGTGCTGCCGCGCGTCATGTGCGAGTGATTTCTGCATGCCAGAAGTCCGTCGGTCCCTCTGGCTCAACGACTCCGTCGACCAGTCGCTTGTCAACGACCAGCCGGTGAGTGCAGCTGCCTCCTGATGTTCCCCCCTGACCCGCCCGACAGAACCAGCTGCTGTCTGCCTGCGGACTCCAGGTGGTGGAGGTAACAGCGGACGCCCACAGAGCAGATGACGTCAGCGTGCGCACGTCCTGGAAGATCCTGCCGACACAGGATGACGAGGAGATCATCCTTGGCGGGAAGGGAGAAGAGGAGGCAACAGCAGGCTCGGAGCAGCAGCAGCAGCAGCAGCAGCAGCAGCAGCAAGTCTCGAGGTCCCCCCGGCTCGTCTGCGACATCGAGAAGGATTATGATGAAGCACAAGTTTGCATGGACACGAGCGTCTTCTTCGAAGGTACGCCTCCTCTCTCCTGCCTTGTGCGGCTGATACCTCCCTCCCTCCCCCAGCCATTCTAGCCGAAAGGAAGGCCATCATCTTGCAATCCTCCTACCGATGCCACCAGGCGAGGGCGAGGAAGAGACTCTGGCAGCAAGAGCGAGGAGCAGCAGCTGCTCGTTCGTCCTCCCTGGTGTACCGCTCCTCCTCCAGTCCCAACAGAAGCCAAGTCGACTCGAGCCAGCTCGAGGTCTCTTCTCCCATCATGCGGAGCCCGTCCAGCAGGAGCCCGACTAACCGCGGCCTCTCCCGTGCGCAATCTCGAGAAGTTCTTGCGGAGTGGAAGAAAGGCATCGAGGAGAAGGTGAGGAGACCAACTACGAGCACAGCGAGTGATGGAGGTGGCAGGTCTCGACCATCCATGAGCAGCTCACTGACTCGGCAAGAAAGCGCTTCCTTTCCAAGTCTCCTCCTGCCTCGCGGATGGACGTAGAGACGGCGCTGCTGCTCTCTCCCGACAACAAGGGAGGAGGGCAGCACGTCTTGTTGATGTCTCCTCAAGCAGCACCCAAGAAGCTCATGTCGTTGCCTCATCTCCCTTCTCCTCCTCACTGACCTCGTTGATGCTCGTGTCAATCGTGTACATTGAAAGAAAACAAAGGTTGTTTGTAAACATGCAAGTTTCGCTCCTCCCAGCTCTCAGTTGCAGCTGTAGTCGGCACGTCCTTGCTGTCTATGCTCATCTACTCTACATCGATGGAATGATGCAGCATCTGCTTCATCCGCTTCAAGTACTGCAACTTGGAGGTGGTGACCAGAGCTGCTTCAACGTCTCTCTTAGCAAACGCGGCCGTCGCCTCACGGCATAACGTGTCCATGGTGGGCTTGTAGAACCTGGACAGGAGAGGAAGAGAGGAGTTAGACAACACAAGGTCTTGCAGCACAAGGAGCTCACCCGTCTCTGATCTTGCACAGCTTCTCCTGGTTCCTCGCATTCTCATCGATCTCGCTGCACACTTCCATCACCTGGCAACGCAACGTCAGATCCATCGCTCATGCAGCAGCCATGCAGAACCTCCATCAAGAACTCCGGGTTGCTCTCCGACGTGTGTTCATCAAAGTTATGGCCCAACCTCCTCAGCATGTACACAGCCCGTGCATGCGGACATCTCAAGGTTCCGTAGGCAATGTTCACCACCGAGCTTTGAGCCTGGATCATGGGTTACAAGAGCCTGCCATGAAGCACAGGACCAACTCGAGCACTCACCGCGGACAACTCCTGCTCTCTCAGGCTCTTCTGCATGTACTTATCGGGATGAAGCTGTATCATCAGTTGCTTGTACTGCTGCTCGAGAACCCGCACGTCGATGTCAAATGTTTCCTCTGCGATCCCAAGCAGCTCGAAGTAGTTGCAATCGGGTGCCGGCGGTTGCATGGCTCCGCAGGAACCGCAGAACATATGCTCGGCACAGCGACCATGATTCCGCGACATCCCACAGTTCCAGCAATTGAGCTCCTGGGCCAAGACCACAGGGCATCCCGTGGAACATGGCGTCGCGCAGCTCGTCTCGTTCGAATGCGGAGACGCATGCTTCTTTACCTTCAGCTCTTCAACAACCTTCCGGTTCTCCTGCGCCACTGCAGACAAGCAGCGACCATGAACCATGCTCCATGCCCGCACAGCCCCAAAGGGCCACATCTGCGCCTCGTGCCTTGCCAGGGTCGCTCGTGATGAGCAGAAGCTGTTGCTCAACGACAGCAGCTCACATCCACGAGAGGGGACTTGTCTTCCTCGTCGCGTCACGTTCACCTTCATCGCCTTCACCACCCGCCCTCCTCCTCCTCCTCCTCGCATCATCTCCTTCACCAACTGCGTCCCGGCCATGCTTCCTTTAGATACCCTACCCCCTCTACCTGTAAAACATACCCCTACCCATCCATAGTCCTCTCCCTCAGAGGCAACCCCCTACCCATGTTCGTTACCCCTACCCCCTCATACCCCTTTTCGGGTCACCAAACCACGCACCGCCCCAAATGATATATGAACTACCCCTCTTGTCAACATACCCCACGCAAATTCCAACCACCCACCCCTCATTACCCTATGCTCTGATCACTTGATCTCACCCCACCCCACCCCACCCCACCCCTTGTATCAAATGTCCCTCCTCTGTGGGTACAAACAGACTGAAATGGATCTCAATCGATATAAATCTACGATTCAATCGATTTAATCGATTTAAATTGGCATACTCCCGTTACCATTTCCGTTGAAATGAACGGTAAAGATGTTTATATTAATGCCAGGCGATGTGGGGAGGAAGGATGGGTATCGATACGGGAGGTAGAGAAAAGGAAGAGAAGAGAAGGAGAAGAGAAGAAATTCAAAGTGAGTACAAAATTGTGCTATTGAAGACGGATGGGAAAAGAGCATGCAGGAAAGATTAAGGAAAGAAACAAGCAGAAACCATACGGAAAAGAAACCGGAGGAGAGAGAACTTTCGTGAGGAAAGATGTTGAGGAGGGTATAGGAGTATATGAATTGAAGAGAGCAGGAATGGTAATAAACAGGTCGAATCTTACATTCAAGTGGTCAGGAGATCAGAGCTTCACAAGCTCATGTCATTCAGGGGCAGAATGAAGTGCATCAAACCAAACTATCAGCCAGTACGCTAAGTGGCCACTTGGAAGACATTCGGAGACTTCTGTGACGATGGTGACTTGCGATGCGATTGCTGCACGTTTGATAGGGCAAGGCCTCGGCTTGTATTGTGAGGTGGACCAAGATGGGGGATACATGAGGGTGAGTCGATTATAACAGCCCAGTGTAGAGTGACTTCCTTACTCTAGGTGATCTCAGTAGAGAAGAATGGCGCGGCATCGAGAGCAGGCTTGCAATGTGGGGACAAGATTCATCGTGTAGCTGGGAAAGACATCGTCAGCATCAAGGCTGAAGACTTGCGGTGCCTGGTCGATGGGCCGAAGTTCATGCCGGTGAGGGTTGAAGCCTCCCGTGAGGACGAGCACCTGGGCCCCCGCAGCATCTCCCTAATCGCCATCGTCAACACCCGGCATGAGAATGTGGAGGATCGATTCACCGGCTCTGCCTCTTCCAAGGGAGCGCGGCCAGGTCTCGAGTACAGCAGGAGATACATGGAAAGCTTTACCGAGAAGTACGCCAAGAGACCCATTTCCTCCTCCCCTACGACCTTGTCTGAAGGGTGATGTAGAGTTCTACTTGGATCTCACCTGTTCTGAGACGAAAATGCTCAGATCGATAGCTCCTTCAGCCAAGTCACCCAACGCCAAGAGTGAATCCCCGCGCCCTGCTTCGGCGCCGGAGCAGGCCCATCCGCAGGCAGAAACAGAAACGTTGTTGCAGGACATGATGAAGCGTGAGAGGAGGAGGAGGATGGACGCAGAGGAGCGGGAGCAGAAATTGCTGGAGCAGATTTCAATGTGACCATCTCTTCTGAGGTTGGAAGTGCTGGAATCAACACCCTCTGCAGATTGAAAGCTGGTCAGCACGACAGCACGTTGGAAGCCATGAAGCGAGAGATAGAGAGCTTGAGGCGAGAGTTGGAGGAAGAGCGAAACCTCCGAAGGCAGGCCGAGGTCACCCCCTTGCTCCTGCTGGTGCTGGTGCTCATGTATGTTGTGCCTCGTGTCCAACAGGAAAAGCTAGATCGATTGGAGGTCAAGATGAGCACGGCTTCTCTAATCGCAGGCAGAGAGCATGACGGTATCCCTTCTTAACAGATGCTGCATGACTGAGAAAGTGGTTACTGAACGAACGATTGACAGCCCCTGCTGCAAGAAGCGAAGGAGGAAAGGAGCAGGGAGATAGGTTCAAGTCACTTCATTTAAATTTAAATGTCTGCAACAGAGGAACTCAGTGATCTTACAGGAAAGGAGGTCATGATCGTTCCGACGGCATTGGGGAGCCCAAACAATCGAAAGTCCTCTCACCTTGTGAGGTCTCCGCTCCAGTCGACAGGTTGGCAGGTGGTGACAACGGGACACAGGCGAGCAAAATGGCAGCCCGCGGCATTGAGATGACTCCCGTGTCGCCAGGTGTATGATAGGAGGCAAGTGATCATGGAGCAAGCAAGGCAGCTCCTGTCGCTCCTCTCCTCTCAACGTGCGGGGTATCGAGATCAGCTGCAAGACACATTTGTGGAGGAGAACGCACATCGCATGAGGCTCGACTTGTCGCAGCTTGTAGGCCGGAACCCGCCATGTCGACCTGCCGCTCACGTGCGCTTGCCAGATGCAAAGTGACAGACTCCCAGCCCAACCTGCAAGTTCCTCGCAACCAGCGAAGCGCGACGCCCAACCATCGTAAGCGATTCACCGCTCCAATAACTCTGACATGTCGATGTTTAAGGCCTTCGAAGGCTCGCGATCAGACCTGGTGAGTTGCTCTATGGGTGGGGGTGGATTCTTGCCAATCGCTTGATGCTTCAGGAGGGACGAGGGCGGGATACAGTATTACTCCAACACCATCCGTCAGATCAAGGAGAGGATATCGAAGCAAGGCAGTCAGATTGTAGATGAAGGTCTAAACAACCAGGTGTTAATCTAAAACGTCAATAATGGGCAACTCTCTTGCGACTGATCGCATCACTATATCTCTTTAGCAATGTGCCTTCTTCCTTTCATCTCCTTTGCCTGCCGTGACGATTTTCCGCCACCTTCGCTCCCATGTTGACCAAGACGTGAAAAGAAGGGTTTCCGTAGCAGGTGCTTTGCACGAGACTGTCAGCAATCAATTGCTGAGATGCCATCTCCCAGGAAATGATCAACGAGGATAGGGTCAAAAGGGCTTCGAGTTCTTAATGATGACCATTTTACTACAGTAACAACTCCCTTGACGCATGACCTGCTGACTAATCTCCAGCCTATAAAACAGCATCGCGCCCCCTTCGATCGGTGCCGTCGGAAGGAAACGGGTGCCATGGCGATCCTGTCGAAGGAGTTTGGGAGGCACTACGAGCTGAACAGGAAGATGAGGAGCGGAGCGAGATGCGCAATGATGGAGGCAACGCACAGGGGATGCGGCGACAAGTATGCCGTAAAGGTGATCAAGAAGGAGGGGAGGTCGCTAAATTCGGAGATAAGGAGTTTGATGCGACTGTCTCACGCAAACTGCGTCCAGCTGCACGAGGTGTACGAGGAGCACAAGGATCTTTATCTTGTGATGGACCTCGTGGAAGGAGCAACGCTGGCGGATGAGATCTCTTATCAGGCAGCATTCTCGGAGGCAAGGATTGCAGGTATCATGTCACAAATCCTGGACGCGCTCAACCACATGCACGAGAATGGGATCGTTCACGGAAATCTAGTGGAGGAGCACGTCATCGTCTCTTGCGATGACACAGTCAAGATCGTAGGGTTCGGGAGCTCCTACCTGATCGAAGAGATCTCTTCCGCAGAGGGGCTGTCAGTAGCTGCGCAAGACATAGCCATGGCTGGGAGGATCTTGCATCGCCTGCTGAAGGCAAATTCGCATGAGACGAGCAATCCGAGGGGGAGAATTGCCCAGTTGCTCCGTAGTCCGATCGCAGGCCTGCTCAGGCCGAGGTCCAAGGGTGATAGCAAGGGTCAAGAGGACGCGGCAGATCTTGTCGCAAGGATGCTGGAGCCCGACTCCAGGAAACGCCCCGACGCCGCTCGCTGCTTGTCGCATCCATGGATGATGAAGATGAGGTCCAACATAAACTGCCATCCCCACGGGGACAGTCACACTGCCCATAAGGCGTTCCAGCTGCTCTGCAAGATGGACATCGTTGACGACCCGGCTTGCGAGAAGCTCAAGGACATGACAGGCAGGTTCGAGCTGATGAGCCCAGTGAGCGGGGAGGTGATCGCAGAGGGGTGGGAGCTGCGGAGAAATCTGTTCCTGGTGGGCTCCGGAAATGTGAGGGTGATCGTGGACGGCGTCGAGACGCAGACGCTGTCGACAGGTGGGAACCTGCTCGCCCCGTCCTCTACCTGTGCTGACTCCTGTCTTGCAGGCTGCATGTTTGGGCTGCTGGACCACCAGGTGGACGAGCGCTCGAGGATCCAGATTGTTGCAAACGGAGTGAGCTATGTCAACGAGGAGACGACAGCCGAGGCGATGGAGGTGTACTGCATGAGAGCAGCCGACGTGGAGGCGATGGAGGCGCGTGAGCCCGTGTGGTGGAAGAGGCTGGTGGCGAGGATGCGATCGGCTCAGCTTCGCTGCAAGCACGTGACGAGATCACCCTCATCGGAATCCTGGATCAGCGAGGCCATGACGGAGAGAGGTGAACGGCTCTCCCTCGATCGACTGGAGTACATCTGAACGCCGCAGATCGCGAGAGGGAGAACAGCTGTAAAATATGTAGATTTACACAATAATCATAAAGATCCACATGATACATGTGTCATCACGATGGGCTTTGCGATTCGTCAATGCGCAGTTCGTCTCTGTCGTCTTCCCTCATTCCACAGCAATTGCAGTTGAACTTGTAACGACGCCTGACACGATTGCATGGGACATACTAGGCTTTATTTGTACAAGATACACGCAAAACAATATAAAACATCTCTTCCGAGAAAAAAAGAAACATTAACACCATCACCAATCACTGCTGGACGCAAGCTTTCCATCGCCTGGATTTGATCTTCTTCAAGTTTTCGAGGCCATCCACACTATTTCTCCTCGCAACGTCCGAGAGCTTCCGATATGACCGGCGAGGAGACGGAGGAGCGTTGTGACAATCGACGGTATCCTTTCGCTCCGGACTTGAGCTACAGGAAGCCCTCCTGAACCGAGCCTTCCCGACACGCTCGAGACGAGATTCCAGCAGGGGGTACGTGCGGACGATTTCCTCCAGATCGCTCTTCATGAGCTCGAACAGCTCGGTGACGTGCTCTGACCCTCTCTCGTGCTCCTTGTGCATCGGACCCAGGGCCATCACGTCTGCTGTCCGGTGTGCTGCTACCGTGAGGGCAACTTCCCCGAAAAAGTCTCCTGCAGAGCAGGTCAGGACCAACCAGTATCACAATCGTCATCGTCATCATGAACATCGTCATCATCATCATCATCATCATCATCATCATCATCATCATCATCATCATCATCATCATCATTCCCATCTTCGTCATCTCAGTGATGATACCTGAAGTGAGCATGTCGACTTTGCTTCCATTCACAGAGACCTGCACGTAGCCCGAGTGCACGAAGTACATGCTGTTGGCCTGGTCGCCTGCTCGGATGATGTAGTCCCCCTCTCGAACTCTGACGGTCTTGAGCACTTTGGCGATCTCATGCAGCAGCATGGGGTCGATGCTCTCGAAGATATCCAGCTTGCGCAGGAGGAGGAAAGCCTTGTGGAAGCTGTGCAGGCTCCCAGCTCGCACGTCTGGCGATCCGCTCTTGATCCACTGGTGCTCAAGGCACTCAGACGCCGTCATCCTCTTCTTGGGCTGCTTCACGATCGTCTTGAGGATGAAGGCCCTCGCCTGCGAAGATATCCCATCCCAATAGGGAGAGGGGAAGCCGAACTCGCCCTTGCAGATCTCCTTGAACAGGGCGGGCGTTGAGGTCTGGTAGAACGGAGGGAAGCCGCAGAGCATGACATACACGATGACACCCAGCGACCAGATGTCAACCTCCGGCCCGTAGACCTTGGAGCCTCTCGCGGGGTCGATCACCTCCGGCGCCACGTAGTTGGGGGTGCCGCAGGGAGTGGACATCGTGCTCCTTCCTGACATGACCTTGGCGAGCCCGAAGTCCGCGATCTTGATGGTATTGTAGTCCGGGGACGCCGGGTCTCCTGAAGCATACAGCAAGTTTTCAGGCTTCAGGTCTCGATGCGTGATACCAATGCTATGCAGATACTCGACGGCGACCAGGATGTCCCTTGTGACGTGAATCGCGTCTTGTTCCGAGAAGTGATTCATCTCAATGATCCGATCCATCAGTGTCCCGCCAGTAACGAGGTCCAGAACCAGAAAAAATTTCCCCTTCTCTTCAAAGACCCCGTGTAAATGCACGCAGTTGGGGTGCGAAACTCTCATCATCGCGTCGACCTCATGGGCCAAGCTCTTCTCATCGAACGCCGGGTCATCTTTGCTTACAACCTTGAGTGCGAACTGCTGCTTTGTGAAGACATCTGTGCAAAGTTTGACAGTTGCGAACGATCCCCTTCCTATCGTCTCTCCAACGTCGAAGTTTGTCCTAATCTCTCCTGTGTACGTTAATTTCACCATGGCTTTCTGCCGCCCTGCGCTGTGCTCTTTCCGAATTTACGGGTTTGCCGAGATTCCGAAAAGAATTTTTTTTCGCAAACAGGGGGTATGAATGATACCAAAATACCAAAATGTATTCGAAAACAGAGTTTTTCACTTCATGTCCCAAGTGACATCAGGCCGCGGCGTCAGCATGCATCCGGTCAAAAACTCTCAAAAAACGAAATGGCAACTTTTCGAAGACTATTTGGCATGTGTTGAAATCTTACGTGTAGATTTCAAAGTCTCCGATTAAGCTAACAAACATAACAAATATCTTTCGTCTTGTAAAGCGTGGTCAAAGAGATAACCCTACCGTACAGAGTGAGCGGATTTTAGAGGGTAGGGTGTTTTAACTTCTATCCGCAAAAAGCAGGTATCGACCCCAAGGGGTAGTTAGGTGTTGAAGGTCCGTACGAAGGGGGTATAGCCGATTATGTACAAGAACGGGTACTATTCAATATGAATTGTATGGGTACACCAGCAAGTACAGAAGTGATGGTGGGGTCAACAAACCTTACAAATTTTGTGCTGGTGGGTGGGGTGGTATCCGAGGCAGTCATCATCATCACGAGGATTCAACCTCCGAGCGTAGTCACCTGTCAGCACTTTACTCAAAGTTAAGTCAAAAATCAGTACGAGGACAATATGAAGTCTTTAGAGTGACTCGGGGGCCCTCACAGTGGCGGTTGCCGGGCCCCAGTTGCTCGGCCGGCTCAGTGTGCCCGGCACGTCACGGCGGCCGACCATAGGGTGCGACACGATGCCCAAGAAGGAAGGCGCCAAGACAAGGGAGGCCAACAAGAAGGCTGAGGCCGAGGAGGCCAAATGTGGGACCTCCTGCTCCCTTGCTCTCCTTCCCTCTTCCTGCTCCCTTGCTCTCCTTCCCTCTTCCTCCTCCCTTGCTCTCCTTCCCTCCTCCTAATCCCCTCCAACTCTGACCTCTCCGCCCAAGTCTTCTCTGCCTGCTTCTTTGCCGACTCAACCCACCTCACTCGTGCAGCCCGCTGTCCTGTTCACTCGTCTGAAAGTCTCCTCCATCTTCGAAACTTCATAGCTTTCACATTCAACTCATTTCTCCTGCTGCTTGTTACGAACACCACTTGTCTCTTGATGAACTCCCCTTTGAAAGTCGATGTCACTGACGTTTGCGCGCCAGCCCGAGCAGAAGAGGATGCCTATTGGTCGCAGGGATCCAAGGACGGCAGCAAGCAAGTATGTGGCTCTCCTTCCATCGGGCGCAGTCTGATCCTTGCATGCAGTCTGCCGCCGAGGAAAGCGCCTTGCGGAGCTCCGTAGGAAGGAGGAGAGGAAGAAGCTTGAGGTCATAGGATTTCCTTGTCTTGTGTTCATTCATGCTGGCATGCCCCACGTGTAGGAGGAGGAGTCTGCCTCCCTGTCCAACAAGAAGTCCACTCAGCCCGCCAAGGTCACACAGGTACAAACCTTTTGCCCTTGGAGTCTGCGAGAGCAACTGAACGTCCCGGTACAACAGGCGCAGATTGCACAAAACCTCATGTTCATGCCTCCCAAGAAGGAGAAGAAGAAGCCGGTGAGCTGAGTCGCAGCTCTCTGCCGCTGGGAGTGATTGTCCTCCAAGGAGCCAGAGATCGAGCGAAACATCAATCACCTAAGGATGGAGGAGGTGTGCCTGCTCTCGAGCCTCCGGCCGATCTTGAGTGTACAATTGTAGTCCCGCATGCTAGCAGAGAAGGGGATCCAGCGGAAGGAAGCATCTGGTGTCGATGCTGCGACCGACCTTCTCACCAACCTTAACACCGAGGTGACCCCAACTGAGCGAAGGACTATCAGCGCCTCGCTTCCTGTTGGCTGAATCGACGTGCCCAGGACGAGAAGTCGGATGCTCACCCAGAGAGGAGACGCAAGGCTGCATTCAAGGCGTACGAAGAGCGCGAGATCCCACGTTGATCGCTCGCTGACTTGTGAAGATTCCTCTGAAGCGCTGCTCCAGGTATCAGGGCTGAAAATCCGGGCCTCAAGCTTTCTCAAATCAAGGAGATAATTTTCAAGAACGTGAGTTTCCATGATGCGCAAACTGCGTGTTCTTGCTCACTCATTCTTGCGTGTGCCAGTGGCAGAAGTCTCCAGAAAATCCTATGAATCAGGAAGCTGCATAAGAACACAACCTCTGATTCTTCCGTGGCGAAGGTTTCTGTTGCGGACTCTTGAATCCCTTCTCTCAAAAATAAATTCTTTTCAATCAGCTCGCTGATTTAACGATCTGTCATATGAGAAGGTAGAGTTGGTGCTGACTATTCACCCATTCACTCATGTTCATTCACTAGAATGTTAATAGATTATGTACAAGCAGAAAGCTTAAGAAAAAAATATAAAGAAGAACTGTCTTCATTGCTGGATGCATCCTTTGGTTTTCTTCCAAACCTTGCTCTTTCCTTTCTTGAATTTGATGGCTTCCAGTTCGAGGTCAGGTGCGGATACGGGACTAACAGAAACAGGAGAGAGCACTGGCGAGCAATCGGAAGAGCCGGAGAAGACATGCTCAGACTCTGATGACGCAGTCCTTGATGGATTGTGGTTTGATGGACTTAGGGATTCTGACGGCCTGCGCGAAGAGATGGCTCGACGAACACGTTTCTGAAGAGATAAAAGTCAGCATGCGACAATGCGCGAGGGTATCTCGGTCACCTGGCTGACTTCAAGCATCCTTGTCTGGAGTACGGGGAACTTAGCCAAGATTTGTTCGAAATCGGATCTCATGAATTGGAGAAGCTCGGTAGGGTTCCTTGTGCTTGACGCCACGTTTGTGCGAGTCCCTGACTGTGCTCCAAGCGAGATGACGTCGGCAGTACGAAGTTCTGAGACAGTCAAAGCTACTTCCCCAAAAAAGTCGCCTGGAGAAAGACTCGTTAGAAAAAGCCCCTTGATAGAAAAATGATCTGACCTGCACCCAAACGGTCGATTTCATTCCCATCTACCATCACAGATACTGATCCACTTTGTATGAAGTACATACAGTCTGCAACTTCTCCTGATTGGATGACTTTCTCCCCCCAAGGAACTTGCTTTGGCTTTAACATGTTGATCACTTCTTGCTGAAGCTTGGGGTCGATGTTGTCAAAGATGGGAAGTTTCCTAACGAGCAAAAATGTGTGCAATGATCCATGCAAGGTGCTCACAACCGAGTCATTTGAGTACGCCTGATCGAACCAAATGTGATTCAAGCACTGCATTGCTGTAAGTCTCTTTGATCGATCAACAACCAACATCTTGGAAATGAGGTCTTTCGCTTCTTTCGATACTTGGTCCCAATAAGGAGATAAGAATGAATACTCAGCCTTCATAATCTGTTGGAACAATGCAGCTGTTGAGAACTCGAAAAAAGGCTGGAAGCCACACAACATAGTGTAGATGATGACTCCAACTGACCAGATGTCCACCTCAGGGCCATAACCATCGAAACCATCACTATTCAACACTTCAGGCGCCATGTAATTCGGGGTGCCACAGGTAGTCTTCATCGAAACGTTCTCACCCATATATTTCGAGAGTCCAAAGTCAGCAACCTTGACTGTATCATAGTACTTGGATTCTGGATCGTTGGACGCATAGAGTAGGTTTTCTGGCTTCAGGTCTCTGTGTGTGATACCGATGTTGTGCAGGTATTCCACCGCGTTCAGGACATCTCTTGTCACTTTTGCGGCCTGCTTCTCTGAGAAGAAGTCCAGGGCAATGATGCGATCCATGACGGTTCCTCCGGTTGCCAGATCAAGAATCAGGTAGGTCTTCTCGCATTGGTCGTACACCTCGTGCAGACGGAGGCAGTTAGGGTGCGAAACCTTCATCATAGTCTGGATCTCCTGCTCCAGAGATGATTGATGGAAAGAATTCATCCATTTGTCGACAATCTTGATAGCGACGAGTGTGCCCTTGTCTCTATGTCTTCCTTCCTTCACTGTAGCAAACGACCCTTTTCCCAGAGTTCTCCCAACTTCGTAGGTGCGATGAATGCCCCTCGACAAGATCGCCATGATAAATCGCAGCGGCCAGAAGGCCAAGTTCCCTCGGTGGTCAAGGAAGAAACACTATACTAGACTTGAGAGTATGAATGGAGATGATCCTAGGAATCAAATCGAACGCACAAAGATTCACAAAGAGCAGGGGCAGGACAACGTATGAGGGTGCACGAAGCGGATGGCTGGCAAGGGGGCAGATCGAGAAACCGGGCAAATGAGCAGGATATGAGAGGAAAGAAGGGGGCCAGAACAGGCAAGGGATAGAACGTTGAGGTTGCGATGAAAGGGAGGAGTAAACGGGAAAGGATGGGGGAGAGTGGGGGGATGGGCAAGGGGGTGAGGTGATCTCCGGGAAGAGAAGGGCAAGCAGGATCCTGACAGGGGGTCAGATCTTCGAGGGGTGGGGGGTCCAGTTGTTCAAGAGTCTCTAAACCACCGGTGTTAAACTACAAAATACCGGTTCCAGAATATAGAAATGTGCTATGTTGTAGGGGGTGGGGTACGTCGGGCACCCCTTTTTTGAGCGGATTCCATACCTGGCAGCTGATGACATGTCACGTACCCCACCCCTTGAATCATGGTTTTGCAAGTATCTCTACCTACACCCAACCCACCCCTTGTCAATCCAGTCTCCTACAGCAAAAGCACTTTACACGTACACCCCTCCCTAATTCATCAAATGTACCCCATTCTCCCATGTAATTTTCTCCATACACCACCTTCTTCATCACCCCCACCCCATCTCTACCCCTTCTGGATGAGCCTGCCCAGCTCTAACCAAAAAGTACACAAAAATACATTGATGACATGACCCCCAGCTACCCACCCCTGGTATTCTTAAAAAGAATGTACCTTTGACTGGTACCACGGTGGTCCTCCCTCCTTTCTGAGGGCCAGAGCCCCCTTGTATGCGGCTTTTTCTCTACCCCACCCCGACTGGTCGATCCTGCCCTGTAAGCGGGGATTGAGTGCAATGATTACACGTGTAGTAATATGGATACAAAGGTCAACGTGTATTCCGCTGACCGAGAGCTACCCCTTTTGTCAGATTCAACAAAAGGGTGGGTGCCCATGGAGGAAGAAATGAGGGAAGAAGTCATCCGAAGCGATCCCTTATCTCAACGCTCTATCATGGAAAGCTGAGAGACTTATCCCAACCGATGCCTCCTGCGTGCGTGACCAACAAACTCCTTTATTGCGAATATAGTAGTTTTCAGACAAAGCTCGAAGCTCGTGAGGGGTGATTGCAACGTTTCGAGTTCGATGACATCGCTTTAAGATTCCAGCTGACAGGATTTCCGACGCTTGACCGTTATGGTGTAACGAGATTTCGTGACTGGGTGCCTTCTTAAAGCTACTTGTGGCAGCGAAAAGACATCGTTTCGTCAATTTGTATACCAAAATAGACTGTCTGGTCGTCTTCGCGGAAGTTCGGTCCCCTTCGCCAGCCTGACGGCAACCGTTGATGACAGTCCGACGGTCAGAACTTCTTCTTCGTCATGGCCGCGACCGTCCGAGTAGCCGCTTCACTAGTCTCTGACTCAGCTGTGGCACGCGGCAGGCTGCCATACTCGGAGGCCTCCCGCGGGCCCCGGCCCGGCGCGGCGCGCCGGGCCGAGGCTTTGGCCCCAAGTTCAAGTACTCGTACCGTACTGGCCGGGCCACGCCCGGCCGTACGGTGACTGACCGTCTCAGTCTCAGTCCGATGACCGGTCGGGCGAAGCGTACGGTCGGACCGATAGGCTCCCGATGAACTCAAGTTCGAAACGGGATCGGCGTCCAATCCGATCATCGGATCATTCAATCGGCGGCGGCGGCCACGGCGGCGGCGGCCACGGCGGCGGCCACGGCCGTGACGCCGGGCCGCCGGGCCGCCTGGGCGGCCCGGCAGACCTTTGAGTAACTTAAGACCACGTACGGTACTACGGTACCGTACGCCGGTCACTGAGTCACTGAGCCGGCAGCCGCGCGGCCCGAACCCGCCGTGACTCTGCGGTCGTGACCGGGCCCGGCCGGTGCCGCCGCTGGCCTGAGTGCCGCACGGCCTGACGGCCTCAGTGACCTGCGGCCTGACACGGATTTTTAGTCAACCCACCCAGCTTGGAGGGCCGCAGAGGCTGGAGCTGTTGAGCTATAATAATATAAATACTGAGAGGAACAATACAAACACTACAGAACTCAATTCGTTTTCATACAAAAAAAAATATATGATTGAAAGTTTCAGTACCCAAAAATGATACGTTTTTCTACACTAAACGATTATATGTTGCGTCTTTGATAAATTCCTTCTGTACAGATTGTATAATTACAAAGCAAGGTTTCTACAATTTTAGAAGTTTATATGAATAAGGTACAAATAATAATGCATAAAACACTTGGAGGTTCTGTTTTAAAAGTACTGCAGCCTCGCCGTCGCAATGGCGCTTTCACATGCAATGAATAAGCTCGGTGAGCATGGCGCTGCTTCCTTCCTCTTGAGAGCACTCTCAATTTTCATCCTCTTGGGATGGGTTCGGCTCTCGCACGCGTAGACTGCTATGATGTCTTAATGCTCTACTTGCATTTGCTGTTCTGTTTTCCACTTCCGACTCCTTTCCTGCTTGACTATGTTCCAATATTATCCTTGAGTTGTGTTTGCAAACATATCTCGTAAATCGGTACGAGAAAGTCTTTATCTGTCTTTCAAATATCTTTCGGTGTTTTCCTTGATGTCATTGTATTGTACCCTGCGCGATACACCTCTGCTTACACGTCTGCTTCCTAGTGTAAAAACACTGCTTCGTCTGTTTTTTGCTTGTGTGTGTTGCAGTGGTCAAGCCTCTTTAGCAATCAATCTGTTTAGATAGTATGTTTCAGTTTTTTTGTGAACTATGGGATGCCCCTCTTAGGCATTAGCATTGTTATCTGATCCTTTGCCACAGGCCCAATTTGGGTTCAAGCCGTAGTCGGTGTAGCGGTGTGCTCTGGTCTTGGCTACGCCTCCGTTGTAAGCATTCGAAGTAGGCTTGAGATGCTGTCGCTTTGCTTATAGCTCACATGCTTTACAGAACCCCCCGGCCCCTCATCTACTCCTGAGTGGAAGGAGCATGCCAAGACCATGCCAAACCCACTCCGTGATCCTGAGGGAAAGCTGCGATAAATCTTGATGATGTTATAGCATCACTGCGAAAATATGTGCATGCGCATAGGTCCTGCCATGTGGCTGTTAAGGAATGAATGCGGTGTCCTGAGAGTAATGACATGAAAAGAGTTCATATCCAACTATCGTCATAAGCTGTATTTTGCTCCTCGACGCTGAGTATGCAACGAAAGCGAGCTTGTGGCTTTACCACTATTCAATGTTTCTTTGCTCTGATAACGAATAGCTATTCAGATCAATTCATTTGACCATGTTGCACATACCTGAGCTCTTGAAGGAGGAGAGATGCCGGATTAGACACTGTATTGCCGTACTTCTTCGCAAGCTCCTTACCTAGAGCGATCCTTTGCTGCGCTCTAAGTCACTTTCTCAAGATTGATCTTTCGCAAGAAGCTTACATCATATGCATCGATCGTATCTTTGCACTTTTGCGAGATCTCCTTCAGATCTTCCATGTCTTTGATCCTCTTCTGAGCTTCTGCCTTTTCATGCTTCTTGTATCTGTAGAGCTCAGAAAGATCTTCGCGAAAAGCCGTTTCAGCACTCTTCCCACCTGTCTGGATTTTTTCCAAGTTGAGCTTAAAGCCGTTTGCCTCTGCTTGTCTCGCATGGGGTAAAAGCGGCTGACGGGGATTCCCCGACTTGCTCCTTGCCGCGTCCTGACGCGATGATGTGACTCGCGAGTAACCTGCTGATCGATGTCTAGCTGGGGCGTCCCTTGAATGACTTCTATGTTCAGCTCTTGGCAGGCTGGGTCCTACCACCAGCCTCCCTGCCTCTGCTCCCCGACGGACAAGCGCAGTCTCTGTTGGGGCAGCTCGCCGGGCTCTGCTGGGCTGGGTCGAAGGACGAAGGAAGGGTTGTTCGTCTGCTGCTGAGGACCACTCGCTCCACGAGTCATCTGACGATTTCTCATCGCGCTGCTTCCTGTGCGCAGGAGGGCCATCAGACCGTCGGCGGTCAGACAGCATGAGGCTGCTGTGGCTGCTGAACGAAGGAGACGAGGAGTCGCTGCCGTCGGAAAGACTTGTTGACCTTACGTCCGATGAACTCTGATGAAGAGTGTGGTACCTCCGCCTTACAGGGCCGCTCCCTTCATAGAGCACCAGAGCATTTTCTTCCGCGCCTCTGCGGTCAGGAAAAAGGATTCAGGCTCAAACAGACTGTTGCTTTCTCAGGGTACCTTAAATGACGGTGTTGCTGCTGGCTTGCAAGGTCCTGAGATTTTACCTGAGGCCAATAAAGTCATCCAGCTGGAGAGCAGAAGACAAGAATCCAGTCTACACGGCCAACGAGAACAGAGTCAAAGGTTTAACTTAATTGCCAACCTGCCTCGCCTGGTGATCAGTCCTATCTCCCATCAGCTGGCGGGACATGGGTATCAAACAAGACGAACAGTAGCAGGGGAACGACAACGGTTACCTTCTTGATGCTTTGATCTTCAGCAGAGAACAGCTTGAAAACGAATGAAACCCCAGTCTTGTCTCCCCCGATCTGGATCAGATCCCCGACGCTGAGTGTCACTTGCCTCCAGTGTATTTCGACAGTGTTGATTTTGGATCCCTTGGAGCTGATATCTTTGAACCTGAAGACGTCGGACTTCTTGTCGTACCGTATGATGCAGTGATACCCCGATACCGACCTGCTCTCTTTCTCATTCAGGACTAGCCCGCAGTTCGCCGAGCGCCTAACAAGGCTGGTATCACCAGGAAGGGAAAACATTGTGCCAAGCTACCCAATCAGGACGTCTTGCTTTGTGTCCATAACCCAAACATTTCCCGAAGCATCCTGCAAGCCGTACAGACTGTGTCGTGTTCTTTCAACAAACGACTTGACAGCAGCTTCGCTCATGCAAACAGTGGGCATTCCCTCGAAGCTCATGATATTCTCTGTTGTCGACTGAGACTTTTCTGTTTTGACATCAGTCCTGGTCTTGGCGGAGGATATCGAATCGCCGGCTGCCATCGAGACGCCCTCCCCCTTGAAGCTGCGGATGACAACTCTCTCGGGCATCAGGTTCTTGAGCTTGCTTCTCTTCACAAAGGCTTCCACGTGCAGTAAGAAATAGAGAGAGAGAGGAGGAGAACGAGGAGGAGGAGGAGGAGGAGGAGGAGGGGAAGGAGGAGGAGAAGGAGGAGAAGAAGAAGGATACCTTCTTGGCCGTTGTCGAGTAGGATGAGAAGCCGCTCGTCTTCAGCATGCTTCGCTCCTTTTCTGCACAGAACCCTTCCCTTCAATCCATTCCTAACAATGGACAGTCGTTCAGTTTGCGGGAAAGCATCGTCCATGCTCTGAGGACCAAAATAACATGCAACGAGAGGAGATGGTACCATCGCTCGTTCTCTAGATCGACAAGCTCCACACGCTGCCCTCCCATGGCGTCATCCCACGCTACGGATGCCATGGGCACGTAAGGACTTGACTACCTCTATCATTCAAAGCCTTTTCACTTTCATGGCCCGACGGTGCTGCCGACGGTGTGTAGAGTGTAGTAGGCTAGCTAGAGTGTAGTAGTGAAGTCCTGAGAAGTAGAGACGTGTACTGTACGGTAGCGTAAGTAAGTGACATGAGTTGTGATAGATGCTGTTATCCCTTACCTGTCTGACACTGTTACTCTGACTACAAAGTCCCCAACTACTTGACATAGCCTTGTGCAGGAGCTCTGTCGGACATTCGGACGGTGCTGAGCCCTGCGTCTCGCGGCTCCCAAGATCGTCCCCTACTAGGTCTTAGCGAGTCGCGGCTCCAGGGCTAGGGTGTGGTTTCAGTGCTCACGAGGACTGAGAATCACCAGCTGATTGGACATGTATCGTTTAAGTTAGGCGCATCCCCAAACAGTGATGTCAGTGACGTCGTCTTGAGGCACAACCCGTAACTTAATGATGAAGGGCTATGAGCATTGTGGACACTCAGGGTAGTTATGTGCCGGGCTGATATATGCTACACTATGATAGGTCTACGTCACTTCCAGTCTCCCAGGCACGCCTGAGAACAAATCACCAACTCGCGAGTCAGCAGCATACCCCAGGGTCTTACTTGAAACAGCGTCAAGGCTGCGATGGCTGCCGTATCTGCTCTCAGTATTCTTGGGCCCAGACCGATCTTGACCTGAAGGCCGGGCCCGAGTCAGTTGCCCCTCCCCCGCTAACGCTGCAGCGCTACCGCCTGATGCTCTGCAAATCCGGACAACTCATCGTCTGACCAACCACCCTGCACAGGCGCATGAGGAAAGCAAGAGTTTGTCCTCCTTACCTCAGGCCCCACCAACATAGCGAACCTCGCTTCACCTTGCAACGCTCGCAGAGTATCCCAAGTGCCGCGCTCTCCGACGCGAGTTTCGTCACAGACCACAAGTTTGCGGTCTGATGGCCAGCTGGAAGGGAAGAATCAGTGACTACACGCTTAGGTCCCTGAAGTCACTTGAGCAGCAGCTTGTTCAGGGGCTGCAAGGGAACAAGGTCTGGTACATCCAGTCGTTCACATTGCTCAGATGCCTCCACCTGGGACAGGCTCGTCAAATGTCCTGCGCATGAAGGCAGGAGTTGATCACAGCAATCGACTGAAGCCTCTCGTGCTTGATCGACTTGACGATAGTCCTCTATCAAAGACCTTGTCACAGGAATCAGCGCAGGAGTGGCAAGCATGCCTGCGTAGAGACGGGCAGGATGCCCCGCACACCCAGTTCTGTTGCCTGAACCGCCAGCAACGTCAGAGCAAGAGGAAGCAGCAACCTCGAGCACCTTCTGCACGATGGCCTCCGTGGCGTCGCCCTTGACAGGGGCAAAGAGTAGCCACACGTCGCTTCCTGCTGAGAACGTGTGCCTCTGCTCGGTGACGGTTCCTAGGTAGGAGGGTCAGGCACGGCCGAGGGCAAGGGAGGGGACAGAACCGCGAGCTCCCTTCTTGTCAAAGTGATCCATCCGGCACCACCACTCCCCATCGCAGCCGTTGAAGACTTTGACGTGACTTCCTTCCATGACGCGCATCACTTTGTCGAGGTAGTGGCTCTGCGACGACTCAAAGTTTACCGTCGATCCGTGCAAGAGCTGTTGTCCTCCCACAAAGACCCGGATGTCCCTCCTGCCCGTCCCCTCCTGCCCACGATCTCGCGCTTGACTCACGATCTTCGCTCTCGCTGCAAGCTGGCGCTGAGATTTGGTCGAGACAGGAAGCCTTGCGCCGAATGGAGGTCGTCCTGAATGGAGGTAGGAGAAGCAGGGATCCCTTGCCATGCACGCCATCGAGTTCATGACCGAAGTGATCCCCAGAACAAGACCCCGTTGCCTGTTCATCCCTGGTAGGATCAGGACTGTGGAACCAACTAACTCTTGCTTCTTGCTGACTGACTGACTGATTGACTGACTGACTGACTGACTGACTGACTGACTGACTGACTGACTGACTGACTGACTGACTGACTGACTGACTGACTGACTACTTGTAGTTCTCTCCTCGTCTCTTGTTCTCTCCCTCCGTCTCGCAGGTTGGCTTCACTGTTCAACCACGGGGAGACGCTTCTTTACTGGGCGGACCCGGCAGGTGTCTAAATGAAGATGGAAAATGGTGGCAATGGGCGAGCCTGAGGGAGCGGGAGGATGAGACGAGGGGAAGCAGCGAGAGGATAAGGTTGTGAGATGAGAGCAAGAGAGCGAGGGAGCGAGGGAGCGAGGGAGCGAGGGAGCGAGGGAGCGAGGGAGCGAGGGAGCGAGGGAGCGAGGGAGCGAGGGAGCGAGGGAGCGAGGGAGCGAGGGAGCGAGGGAGCGAGGGAGCGAGGCTGACACTTGTCATAGGTAATCATTTGGAGAACACTGATCCAGTATGCACTCAGACGACGAGGAGGAGGACGAGGAGATGCAGAGTGAAGAAGATGAGGACGAGGAGATGGAGGAGGGTGAGGAGATGGAGGTCGCGGAAGAAAGCGAATCTCTCAGAGCAGAGCTGCAGCTGAATCCGAGAGTCGAGACTCTGCTCAAACAAGCGCTGATGCTGCAGCTCAGCGGCAAGCTCCAGCAGGCGGTGCATGCGTACCTCATGTCGTTCAAGGTGCAGCCGTCCATAGCTGAGCACTTCGTCGACGAGTTTCTGAAAGCGCTCGCCTCCCATTCCAGCGAGCTCATGGATCAGGGCGACATCGAGACTGCGATCAGCATGCACCGCCTTGCTTGCTCCGTGTTCCCTCGCAACCTTCACCTCCTCACGGAGCTGGGGAGGCTGAGCTTCCTGTCGGGCAAGGAGGTTGTCGCTGCTGACTGCTGGCGGAGGGTGCTCTCCATGGATGATGACTACATCGTCGCCCAGGAAAGCCTCGACCTGCTCAATGGAAGGGCTATCAACCGCTGGCACTACCGGATGATCAACGACCCGGTCCGCAACCAGTGCTACGCTGACGCAATCGCACGTGCAGTTGCGAGGTCAGGAGATCAGCCCAAGGTGCTGGACATCGGCTGCGGGACTGGGCTGCTTGCCATGTACGCTGCACAAGCACGGCCGGGCGTGACGGTGTGGGGATGTGAGCTGTCGGAGCCAATCGCTGATCTGGCAGGGAGGGTACTGGAGGCGAACGGACTGCGGGAGAGAGTTCGAGTGCTCGCGTGCCACTCGGACGACATCGTGATCGACGACGGGAGGGAGGGAGAACACTTGACGTGTTCCATCCCTTCCAAAGTCGACGTCGTCGTGACTGAGACGGCTGACTGCGGGCTGCTGGGGGAGGGGATGCTCCCGTCCCTGTCGAGCGCTCAAAGCCGGCTGCTCGCGCACAGAGGTCAGATGATCCCGAGCCGTGCTGACGTGTACTGCATGCTCGTGTGCTCTCCGATCTTGCGGTCGCAAGGAAGGATGAACGCTGAAGCTCACTGCGGGCTCAAGATGTGCAGCGACAACGTCTTCATCCCGCAAGACCCCTACCTCTGCGAGTACTTGACGGAGAGCGGACACTCTCCTCTGTGCGACCCTTTCCTCGCTCTCACCGTTCCTTTCGACATGAGTCTTGGCGGCATGGCATCGACGCGGCAGCACCGTGTGAGAGTCACGCAGGGCGGGAGGGTGGACGCGTTGGTCATGTGGTACCACCTCTGGCTTGACAGTGAAGGAGGGTTCTCCACTTCGCCATCATGGTCGTCGCTACCGCAGGGGATGCACCTGACCACGTGCTGGGAGCAGGCCGTCTTCATCCCCGACAACAATTTCCAGGTGGAAGGTGGAGACGAGGTTGATGTGCTGGTCTCTTGCAGCGCCAAGAACCTCCACTGGAGACTGAGGAAGTCGGACATGACGAGCTGGGTGGGGACGGCAGGGGAGGACGAGGACGGGAACCAAGTGATCAAAGTTGGGGAGAGGGTCATCAGCGTCCTGAATGACAAGCACAAGAACGAGGCCTACGAGGAAGCGCTCAAGCGTGCCATGAGATCGCTGAGGATGGCCTGTCCCGGCACACCGTTGCACGTGCTGGACCTGAGCCATGGCTGGAGTTTGTGCGGGTTGTTGGCTGCGAGATGCGGAGCCGACAAGGTGCTGATCATGGATCCTCCGGATGAGACGCAGGCGCTGATGGAGATCATCAACGACAATCATTTTGACAAGATCGTGGAGGTATCGACTGCACGAGAGGTGAGGGCTTACTGACCGGCTCCTTCAGATCTTCGATCCCCTGGTGGAAGATTTCCTGAGCATCGGGATAAGAAGAACTTTCTCCCGAAGGAGCTCAGGGCACTCCTTGCATGAGAAGCTTGTCAGGCTGGCGATGAACAAAGCCAGTCCCTTCAGGGAGGACCCCCAGCAAGCTCAGCCTCCTCCAAGTACCAAGAAGAGCTCGAAATCTTCATTCATGTGGAGTGCAGCGAAGGGAAAGAAGTCGACAAAGGATCCCAAGACAAGAGAGAAGGAGAGCGAAGCGTCTCCCTCAACAGACGAGAAGAACAAACTCAAGGGACCTCAAAAATCTTTTCACATAATCGTGCTGGAACTGATCGATCCGGGCGGGATGTTGACGCAGGGGATCCTAGAGGACGTGAGGCTAGCCAAGGAATGGTTTCTGACGCAAGACAAGGGTCTTATCTTCCCCAGCAGCTTCTGCCTCCGCTTCGTCTGCTTGCAGTCCGACCAGATGGTCCAGGACAACCGAGTGAACAAGGCTGCGCAGCACGGCCCGGACGTCTCTCTGCTGGACACGTTCAGCGTCCGGACGCTGATGAGCGTTGACCTGCGATGTTTGCGCTGCCAGCAGATCACAGGAGAATCGAAGCTTCTCAACGTGGACCTCGCTTCCCTTCAACACCAGCAGACGGATGAAGTTGTGGTGGAGGCGATGACGGTGCGTAGCACGTTGAGTCCCATCCCCTAGGGTGACGTGGCAGGCAGGACGGCAGGATCGACGGGATCGTCTTTTGGTTTGAGCTGAGAATGGGGGATGTCACCCTCGAGACCTATGACCGATCCCGCCCCATGAGTTCCCCAGCTGGACACCTACAGCAAGCTCCGGTGTTCGACTCCGACGCTCATCCGCCCCACTGGCGGCAGGTGAGAGACGTCCGAGGAGACGAGGGGGGGAGATAAGTGCGATGACAGGCTGCATGGATCTTCAAGGAAGGAGTTCAGGTGCAGAATCGCGAAAGGTTAAAAGTTCAGGCAAGTTTGCAAGGGAGCTACTTGTCGTTCAAGATTACAAGACAAACTTGAGCCACTCATGTCGTTATCTACCTTGTTGATGAATACCAAACTAAGGATAGACCCCTCCCATGATCGCATGAATCTTTGACATCTCGCGCTCCGGTTACCAAACAATCGTAAGAGCCTCAGGCAGAATCTCCCGGGCAGCCAGTGGGCTTGAGCCTGAGCATGATTTCAGATGGGGCGACAAGAGAACTTGAAACGCAAACACCACAGACAGCATAACAGAGCAAGATATCAGAAAGGCTTACTACCCACCTCCCATCCTGCAGCTCGATCCTCTTGAGGTCATGGTACTCTCTCGAGTACTTGTCGACCATGTCATCATGGAACTGGTGGTAGACTTCCGCAGGATGGAACGGGAACTGAACTGAGTCATACACGTAGATAAGCTTCTTTCCTAGTGTGTCCCCTTCGTTGCCTTTCCCCGCAACCAGGGTCAACCCCCTGGAGCTGGCTGCTGCCTGCACCAACCTCAATCAGCACTGCCCTCTCTCCCAGTCAAGATGACCTTGAGAGATTCAGCGAAAGGCCCGTCCATCCCTCCCGGGATCCCAACGAGGGATCGATATTCTCCTCCCCGGTCCTGCCACCCTGCGCGTCAGACGGGGGAAAGTCCGGGGAAGGAGCCAGCGCTTGCCTGAGGGTCCGCGCGCTCCCCGTTGATGAAGAGGTTCATGTAAACCTGAGCGAACTGTGCGAACTTGCTGGGCGGGAGGGACAACTCAACTGCCTCAGAATGTCCGAGGGAGCCATAGTCAGAGTCGCCAAACATGTTGTGGTAGCAAACTTTCCCGTCCCTGCCAACTTCGGTGCCTCCGGCATACCCTGTCAGGGAAGTGATCTGCGAGTTTCGACGTCCAAGGATCTTCTCTTCGGCTACCACAAACTCATGTTGAACATGCCAGAAGCAGCCGCAGCCGAAGTAAACCTTCACCTCCTCCTCGGCCGCCATGGCAGGGTCGCTCCCGAGGGTTCCTATCGCAAGAGCTGCAATGCTCAACCCGAGAAGTACGGATCTGCGGGTCTGAACTTCCACCATGGGAGATCCTCGAAGGTGAGGAATAGATCGTGCACGAGGTTCCTGCATGGAGAGTCTGCAAGCACTTGGACCTCTCGCTCCCCTTCCCACCGCGACGGATGCGGCGAAGGCACTTGTAGTGACCATTCCACAAGGAATCACAGCCTTTATATCCTGTGATGGTTTGCCATAATCCGAGCGGCTGCGGTACACTCATCGGCTGTCACCGGGGCCGGGCCCGGCCGCGCGCGACCCGGCCCGCACCGTCGGCACTGCAATGATGCCATGATGCCGGGCGGCAGCAGTGCCGGAGGCTGACGGTCTTCAAGTCTCTTCTCGCCGTATGGCCTGTGCGACCGTCGGACAGTCACTAGTGTCAGGGTCGTCCTCTTACTGATTTTTGACTCGGCTTAACTTTGAGTCACGGAAGAAGGTCACCGGCAAGCCAGGCTCAGGCTTTACTCAAAGTTAAGTTGAAAATCAGTACGAGGACAATCAGGAGAGTCGAGGAGGCTTGACCCTGACACTGTCGCACAGGCCAACTTGACGGCGCCGAGAACTGAAAGAAAAGACAGCGAGAACCAAACCCAATCCTGCCGACTGCTGTCCCCCAACTTGAAACTCAGTTAACTGATACCTTCCCTTAACTGCGCGCAGGACTGGGACAAGTACGGTCCCCCGCGCGGCCACAGGCTACTAGCCTAGGCTACTCTCCTTGAGTAAAGGATCAGCCACGCCGCTGAGCCTGTACAGAGTCTCGGAGTCTCGGAGTCTCGGAGTCATCTCGGAGTCTCGGAGTCACGCCCGCCGGGGCCGATCCGGCGGGCCCGACTGAGAGTCGAGTCCGCCGCCGGCCCGCCCGGGCCCGCCCGGCGGCCCGCCCCGGCCGGCGCCGCCCGGGCCTGCCAGTGACAACCCCGCTTCTCACGGAACCCCCTTGTACCTCTACCCTACCCCCTACCCCCAAAGGACAAATCAAGCACCCCTCTATATTCTCAGGAGCTATACCCCCATAATACACCCCCACCACCGTTCGCCCTGCAATCGAGATCCCTGCGATGCTCTTGAAAGCCGGTGTGCGATGGCGACCGACGCTGAGCCGTCAGCTCCTCGCCCGCTCGTCACAGACCTGCACATCCTACGTATCTAAGAGGCTCAAGTTCTCTCTTGCTCCGCATGCTGCTCGAGTGCCTGCTGCCTCCACTACCCGTCAGCGGCTGAGCGTGATGGTGGGTAGCCGAGCTTACAGCTTGCTAGCCGGTGACGTGCTGGGTGCACGAGGGCGGCTTCATCCTCGTTCCAGCTGCAGGGCCATGAGACGCCACTTTTGTGCTGGAAATGAAGCGAGCGATGCCATGGAGTACGACGTGGTCGTCGTTGGGGCTGGCCCTGCGGGTTTGTCTACAGCCATCAAACTCAAGCAGCTCGCTGCGGAACGCAACGTTGAGCTTTCCGTGTGTGTCATCGAGAAGGGAGCTGAGGTTGGATCCCATATCCTCTCTGGAAACGTGTTCGAGACCAGAGCACTGGACGAACTCTTCCCCAACTGGAAGGAGCTCGGTGCTCCCCTCGAGACCGAGGTTACGCAAGATCAGTTCGCTATTCTCACCGGCGACAACGGATCGGTTAACATCCCCTCATGGGCGCTTCCGAGCAGCCTCAATAATCATGGGAACTACATCATCTCCCTGGGAAGGCTCTGCAAGTGGCTGGCTGAACAAGCAGAGAACATGGGAATTGAAATCTACCCAGGTGAATGTCCCGAAGCATTTCTCCTGAAGTCTGATTCGTTTGGGGGTAGGATTCGCTGCTAGTGAGGTCTTGTACAACTCGAATAAGAGCGTCAAGGGGATCAAGATCAAGGATGTAGGAATTGACAAGAATGGGCAGGTGTTGTACTATGTTGAATCTTGTAAGACATTTTGTGACGCTACATTGCAGCCCAAAGATACTTTCACACCCGGTGTAGAGCTCAGGGCGCGACAGACAGTCTTTGCTGAGGGATGTCGTGGCTCTTGCTCAGAAGAGATCATCAAGGAGTTTGATCTTCGGCAAGGCAAGGACATGCAAACGTACGGAATCGGTTTGAAAGAGGTGAGTTGGGTGGAATGATATCCCTGCGTTCCAATTGTGAATTTATTCCATGACTTTACGTCAGGTCTGGGAAATTCCGGAAGAGAATCATAAGCCAGGTTTTGTTCAACATACGGTTGGATGGCCTTTAGACACTCAGGTATCTTCTCATTGTTTTCCTTGCAAACACCTCACCGTTGTTCTTCAGTCATATGGTGGCTCGTTCTTGTATCATATGAAGCCGAACAAGGTAAATTTGTTGAATTCATAAATGTTTTGTGTTGATATTTCGCTCTAGGTCTTGGTGGGCTTCGTTCTCGGTCTAGATTACAAGAATCCTTATCTGTCGCCTTATCAAGAGTTTCAGGTTTGGATGTGGTCGTATCACTACTTTTGATTCAAAATGGCAGCGATGGAAGCTCCATCCGTCCATCCGACAGCATCTGGAGGTACGAGTGTGACGTTGTGCAGTTTGAGATCTGTGATAAGGTGTGTCAGGGCGGCACTTGCATTTCATATGGAGCACGTGCGCTGAATGAGGGTGGTTTCCAAGCAATTCCCAAACTCACTTTCAAAGGGTTTGTACTTGTGACCTATCTTGCAACAATGTCTGACTTCATTTCACAGAGGGTTGCTTGTGGGCTGCTCCGCAGGATTTCTCAACGTTGCAAAGGTTCATCCACGTTTGTGCTTTTTCGTAACTCATTCCTCTTAAAGATTAAGGGCTCTCATACTGCCATGAAAAGTGGAATGATTGCAGCCGAAGAGGTAATTTCGTCTTGAATGAAAATTCCTCAACATAATGTCTACCAGGTCTTTGCGGCTTTGTACAATCAATCGGATGAATCAGTGTTTAGCGGCAAATCGGTGGATACCTTTGAATCACTGGAAGTGAAAGGTGAAGCTTTTGCGAACATGGAAAATATTTACAATCGCATGACAGGATATCAGAAGTCTATGGAAAACTCGTGGGTCTGGAAGGAACTGAACGAGGTAGAGACGATCCAACACCGTGAGGAGCTAAAGCAGGTTGTAATGTAGGTTAGAAATGTTCACCCATCCTACAAGTGGGGATTTTACGTCGGATTGCTTTATTCCGGTTTTTATCTCAATATTCGTATGAGTAGCTTCTAAGGTCCTCCAGGACTCACTCTGCGAGTATTTGGTGGAGCAGAGCCGTGGACATTTAGGAACAAGGTATTGGCGTATTATGACGTCTTGACGTTGGAGGTTGGTTGAAATGGAGGCAGAGCATTGGAGATCATGCAACGACGGGCAAGAAAGATCAGTAAGTCTCAAAATTCTTCTGCGAGTTTGAGTAAGTGGGTGATAGTTATACACCGATCGAGTACGCAAAGCCCGACGGCAAGATCACGTTTGATATTCTTACGAATTTGACGCGAAGGTTCGGAACAAGATTCTGACATGTAACTTTCAAGTGACGTTTCTATTGCTCAGTGGAGTTTACCACGAGGACCAACCAGCTCACTTGAAAGTCAAGCCCGAGCTAGTCGAGTGGCCTGCCTCCATCTCTTATCAGGTGCAACTTGAGCAGGCGCAACCTAGTTGACTGCTAATTCAGGAATACGGAGCTCCTGAAACTCGCTTTTGCCCGGCCAAGGTTTATGAATATACTGTAGATGAACAAACAGGTCAGCGAGTTGCTTCAGCTATCAGACATGCTGACTGTGACAACAGGCAAGACAGAGCTCGTTATCAATGCTCAGAACTGTGTCCATTGCAAAACTTGCGACATCAAGACTCCAGGAAATTACATTAAGTGGACTGTACCAGAGGGATCTGGAGGCCCTCAATACGACTCGATGTAAATGAGTTTATATGGAGTGATCGATAAGAAGGGGGCGTACGGATGGAGAGCATGCAGAATAAATGGCTGTCACCAAGAGATGTCAAAAGTTTTCAGTCAGCAAATTTCGCTGCTTCCACTAATCACAATGCTGGCATGATTGCAAAACCTTTTGACAAAGCTGCCCCAAGCACGAAGTCTAATTCAAGAGAAGTGTCTCCGATAACGTACAGACTTTATAGAGTGATAAATTATCCGGAACGGTAGTCGTTGAGGTTCAAGCCAACTCTTGCCGCGAGCTCCTGGATAGGCTGCAAGGAGGTTAGTTGATCTCTTGGTCAGGTAAGCAGTCAAGGACCTTGGTCTTCAAGGTCTTGATCGCCTTGGTGGAAACGCGAAGGCGAACCTGCAGACGGCATCAACCATGCTCACGACAACTATCAAACATACAAAGGAGTTGCCTTCCTCCCACCAGATGCGCTTCCACTGCAAGTTAACGTTCTGCAACTTGTGGTGGCGTCTGTGCGAGAAGGAGACGGTCATCTTGTTGTTAGCACGCTTGCCCAGGAGCATGCACTCCTTGCGGCAAGGCATCTGCTTCGAGCGCTCGGTAGTGCAGGACATCTGCAAGGGGGTGAGCCACAGAAACCAAGGACTGAGTCTCCCGTGACCTGGAGGGCCTCCAAGGCATTGTGCCTCTTGCTCTCAGCAAACACAGGGAGGGATCGCTTGGTAGCAACGAAGCTGGAATCAGCCTTGGCAAGAGTAGCAGGACGCACAGAAGTTGTGACAGAGACAGGAACTGCAGGAAGACTCTGTTAGCATCGGGATCTGAGGTACAGCACGAATCCTGCAGCGTCTCAACTAGTCTACCTATGCTCTTGTGCACAATGAAAACAAATTGTATTGTGGTACTGATGTATCAGCTTTCATATCACATCAGCAGATTTGTGAAAAGGAAAACCAGATACACGCACAAACCAACCGACGTACAAAAGTAGCTCCTCAACAAAGCTTGAAGTTCCGAATGTGATCAAACATGCATCATCACAATCCACAAGTCATTATGTCATAGTGTAACCAGAAATATTTTTTTGTAAAAATAGCTGCTGCTGTTGCCAAAGGGTATTGCTGTCCCAACTCAACTGAATGCACCAAGGCAAACTCTCTCACAATTGCCTTGAATCCATACAAAATTCCAGAAAAATCCACAGAAACCTCATAACTCTCATATAAATCTCCCTGGTTGAGGTGATTGTATCCCTAAGTCAATCCGCTCATTATCTTGCCCAATCGGGCACTGAACACTTTCACTGACGTCGATTCATCTTCCCCTTCACAAGATTCATCGTCAACAATCCCATCATGCCATAGACTATCTCTCAATCTTCTTATTATGGTTGTTCGTCACTTCTCCACCCTGCTTGCTCACCTGTGAACGCACTGGCAGCCGCCGCAGCAGCAAGCAGTAGGCACGAGCGCAGCATGTCTGTGGCCTCCGGCGGCCGCCTGACTCTTTAAAAGGTATCGAAACATTTCGAGGACCCCAGACCATTTGGTACCACCCCTGATCTACAATACAGAGGGTTATAAGCACTTTTGGTAGGGGTATCCTATACTGAAACTTTGTAGTATGTTGGATGGGCGATAATTGTTTATATGGGTGGGGGTAATAAAAATGGGGGTAGGGGTGGACTAGTGGCAGGTAGTTTTCAATTTATATTTAAATTGGGTGGGAGGATGACGAAACAGACGCAATGTGTGGGGATCGGTCTGAATCGATCGAATCAAATTTCAATCGGATGAAATCGATTGCTGCTCCTTGCGTGTGGGCAACTCTCAATGCACGTGCGAGGGCGGAGAGCAGGGGGAGTGGGAGCAGCAGGTGCTGGAGGAGGAGGCGGGGGAGGAAAGCGGGAGAGAGCAAGACGAGTTCTGTAAGCTCGACTCACTCTGTTGCAGAAGAACCAGGTGAGATGCTGTCTTCCTGTATGGATCGATTCGTGCTCTTTCTTGTCAAGTCTGGCTTGTTGTTGTCTCCTGCCCCGAGAGGCTGCCTTTTTCGATGGTTCCGTATGTGGTGGGATCATTCGCTCTCTTGCAGCCGATATGCCTTGAACAGGAGTCAACAGTGAGGTTTTTTCCTAACCTCTTCTGTGTTACGCCTGTCCAAAACGTTTTTTGGGTGTGTGGCTGTGTGTGTGTTGTCAGCTTTTCATACAACCACCGATTATTTTCTCAACAGGTCGCAATTTAAGCATCATCATGTAGAGTAGTTTTACTCTTTCCTGTACCATAAATCGATAAGATCTTTGAGCATACTTGAATTTCACTTCTTCACCGCGCCCTTAGTGAACTCATAGGTAGTAAATTGTATTGCGCCAGAGAGAATCGCTCGCAGGATTCTTGGCGTCACCTGGGCAGAGAATCACAAATCCCTCACTCACAACAGTCTGATCATCATCATACCCCCAGCATCAAGGCGCCTGAACCCTCTTCGCGGATGATTCTCTGCCATCAAAATCTCAATCTCTGGGATGGGAGGACCACACCTTCTCAAGTACCCTCATGGCAGACAGCGTGTTCTCCTTTGCAAAATCAGAGTTGCTCCCCATGATCTTGTTGCGAGCGACGTCGAGAGGGGTTGTGGCCACCTGAGCTGGGTTGTCAGCTGAGTTTCGAGCTATGATGACAGTATCCCACTTGTGCCACTATGGTGCTTAGTGCCCCAGTGACTGCGGCAATAAGAGGATCTTTACCCTTGGGTCCTGCCGTCGGAATGAGAAAGGTAAAAGCTGGTTAGTGAACCCCCTCCTCACCTATCTGCGCCTTCACCACGTCATATACTGAGAACTTTAACGCATCTGTGCAGGTCTTCAGCAACAAGCGGGAGAAGAAGGTCGGAACCTGCAGGAAAAGTGTAGGCCAAGTTTGACCCGAAACCTTGAAACAGAGCTTTAAGATTCTCTGGACTCCTGGGATCAAGTTGCTTCAACTTGTTCAACAACCCTTGATCTTGGATCGAAGATCCATCAGTCGAACGTACAAGTTGATCCCTCACTTTCAGGATTTCCGAAGGCTGTCTGACAACCCAGTAAGGAAATTGTGCTATGAAGATTGCTAATAATGTTGAAGGAGCGTTCCCGAGCCACGAAAAGTAGCTTTTGACAGCATCTTTCATCCCGAAGAAAACACCACTTGCCGGAGCATTGAAAATAAGAGGGATCAAATATCCTTTGTACAGCCCTTTGAACAAATCACCTCTTTTCCATAGTGGAGTTGAAGGTTCTAGAGGAGTAGTTTGGAGACGAACTTTAATGGTGTCAATGGGATACAAGACGGTTTGTTTCGCCACTGAAACGGCCACTCCAGACAAAAATCCCGAGTTCGCTTCAGCTTTTGCTTCAGATCCGGCACTTGCAAGAACGGCCGATGGAGCAATTACATCAGCGGTAAGACCCGAAGCAGCGATAAGACAAAGGTAAACCAAGGACCTCCTGTCGCATCTGACATCCTTCGTTGTTCCTAGCTGGGTGCTTAATGGGCGATGTTGTGGTGTACACATCTTTGGTGACATGAATGGAGCAGCTCTCTTCCTGCTTGCATGAAGATTTGAAACGAGATGGGACACGGAATGTGGGATGAATGCAGTGGCTGCCAGCGCTGTCATGGCTCTAGACTTATGCTTTTAGCTTGCAGCAAACTTCGACGTAAGGGAACACGATGGAATTATATATCTGAAGCCTCCCAGGGTGAGGGCGATGTAGAGCTATATACTAGGATCCCTTGGTTGATAGTCTAGGCAAGCTCAACGAGTCTCTGGCTGTGCTCACACTGCTCCTCTGTCCCCTGAGGCCCATGCTCCCCCCTCATCCGACATGCTCTCCCACCTTTGAGTGTGGTAAGCACGCTTACACGCCTGCCTCAGAACAGAAACATTGCCCGAGGCGGGGCCACACTGGGAGTGGGTCACTTTTGTACTACAACGAATGTTGAGTAAAATGCTTTTTTGCGGTGGGTGCAAATGCGAGGCAGGGAACAATGGGGTACATCTAGCGTGCGCCAGAGGAAGCAGGCGAGGAAGCAAGGGAAGGCAATTCGAGCTCGACTATGCCGTTTTCTTCTTCTCGCCGATGATCCGCCTTGGAGCCCGAATGTGATAGAATGCCGGAAGACTTGACTTGATCAAATGCACCTGCGACTTCCAAAGAGGAAAAAGCTGCGTGAGAGATGCGGCGGCAAATCCTTGACGTGAAGAATATTCGAAAGCATATTGCGAATCAAGACAGGGTATATGCATATGGATTGAGATACTCGTGTTTCATGCCTTTCAACCCAAGCAAGTAGTGCTTTGTTGCTCAACGGGTAAAAAGAACATTCGGATCTCATCATTTCTCACCACAGTGAGGAGGAAGAAAGCTTGGCGAAAATGATCAAAATTCTCCGGAATTAGTTAAAAATTGCATCTTCAGACCTATGATTATTGAATTTTCAGAGGAGAATTGAAGCGCAGGAGGCATGATAGTCCTAGGAAACGAGAACCTCGAGCCCATAAGTCTTATTACAACTTAAAATATCTACCTGAGAGAAATTCGTTGGCATACAAAAGTCCATGGGAAGAGGCGAGTCTTTGGGGATCTGTCCTTGGCAGGAAGGAGAACCGCCCTGTCTGAACTACTGGGTCAGGTTCGAGCAACGTGATCGGATGCCATGATTTTGGACTCGTCCACCCCCCCTGTTTCCTGTAAACTTGAGAGCTTCTTGGGGGTAGCGTATATAACTATATAACTTTTCTAAAATATATAACTTATATATAACTTATATATAAATTTTCTAAAATCCGTAACGAAAACAAATAATATTTCTAGAGACCAACTTCTGCTAGCAAAAATGATGCTAAATATATTTTTATATCCTATTATGTTTTAACATATATCATTTATTACATTTTCGTACAATTGTTGAGTAAAAATCAATTACGCCCCAAATCAAGTCAAGGTTGGCGTATTCATTTCGTAAAATCTAAAATTCATATTGTGCAAATATAAAATTTCATGAAACATTTTCCACATAATCAAACACAAATTCTAAATTTGGATAAATTTTCCGCCAACTACGCATGAGTAAGTCTGAGGCCCGCCTCTCTAGGGAGTCGCTGAGACGTCACGGGGTAGGGTAGAAAATGTCATAGAGAGGGTTGGGGTATTGTGAAATGGGGTAGTCAAGAGAGTCTAGGGTGGGTCGATGATTAATTAAGGGGTACCGTGAATTATCACCTGGTCAAATCATCTATTTTAAAGAGATAAATGGGGGTGAATAAAAACAAAATTTGCTGTATATGGGTGGGGTTTAGGATGTGGAAAATATACCAAGGGTACTATCTAAAACAGGGGGTGGAGGTGGTTGTCACATGGGGGTTCAGGGTGGTAGGATCGGAGAGGCAATGCCGCATAGCAGAGCTTTGCAGTGATTATTCGTGGTGGCCGAAGAGGGCAAAGGAGAGGACGAAGAGGATAGAGCAAGACGATATGAGCTAGTTTGATAGAGATATGGCACAGGGGATCATTCTTGGAGCATAGATGAGTTCATTCAAGAAGCACAGATAAGATCTGGCTGTAGGAAAGCAAGGAGAGCCAAGAGTGCAGGATATGACGATCACGGCCATCCAGAAATTGGATATGAATTTATGTTGGTATGCATCGGATACAGTGCTGAAGGTTGAGGAGATGGATTCAACATATCGTTGTCATAATACTGGTCTCGACCAACTGTGATAGAAGCCGAAACATTCAACCTGCAGTAAATCGAGTGGTATGTTTTCAACCTGTAAGGATTTGCATGGCCTCAACTGAAGCAGAAAAAGTAGCAAAGAATAGTTTCGAATAATTCCACGCAGAATCTGATCATGTGATCTTCTTTGATTTCTATCTGTTCAGGTCAGCGTGCTGTGACTGCGCCACCACAAGACATGCTTGGTATGAACCGATTCTCGGTTGTGGCGGCATTCCTCTTCACAGTCGTGGAGTTGGCGAATGGATTTTCACCAGTGATCTCTGGACACGCTTTCAGCGCAAAGGGAGGAGCCTTTGTCTGTACAAAGGCTACTCTTCCCTCCTTTGCTCGAGTGAATCGTGTCTTGTTGAATCAAGGCAACAGCCTCAGCGAACTATCTGCTCAACTGAACCACGCTGACAAGATCGGAAAGCTTGTTCCCTCCAACTGGAAGGAAGGAACAGATTACGTTCGTAATCCCAAGGTCAGTATATTCCCTTTGAGCGTTGTGAAAGTATTCGAGGTGGGTGCTGGTAGACTCACGTTATGGTTGTCAGCTTGCAGTTGGCGATCTTGTTTTCTTGAAGCGCTCCGATGGCACTTTGAGATATGGCGAAGTAGTGGCCAAGGCAGGTATGGCCTGGCAGAACTCATGGGAGGTAGGAAGCTTCACTTACCTTGTTTGCTCGTCTTTCAGTATTGGTAACTGAAGAACCTTTGCAGGTCGTCGTTCAGATGAACGGTAGGGCTCCCGGAGCGACACGAGCAGAGTTGGCAGCCAACATCTGTGGGGCTTCATTTCGCATTCGTAGAATAGTTCTGATGCATGAATGTCAGTCAAACCAACTCAGGAGCCAGCGAAGCCATCAGGAAGGCATGGCCTTGTCGAACTCAAGTTGATTCGTTTCTGATCTTTGTACCAGCATTCTCATCGGTCGGGGCGCCCAGACCAGCCTGCGCCAGCCTCCTCCTCCTGCTCCTAAGCCGGTTGCCAAGACCGTAAGACCTGCGGCGCGTGCAGCAACTCCCCCCAGTGCCAAACCTGCTGCGAAGGTTTGAAACTACGATAGCGTCATTGATATAACGGGGTTGTTGCAGGCACCAGCTCCTGCGGTCGGTCGACAGGTCCTCCCATTCAAGGAATTCACCCTTGTACCTGATCGTATTTCTCGTGGAATTCTTCATGGCAGGGCTCGTCGAGAACCACAACTTTGGCGAACGCGAACAAGGCTGCTGCAAAGCCCTCTGGACCTTCTGTTGCCAACGCAGACAAGGTAAGGCTGCGTTCTTGTGGCACTTGTAAAAGTATGCGCTAGTTGAGCAAGCAAGTGCCTGCAACATGGGCCGAGGGCGCACAGTATCTCAAAGCCGGTAGAGCTGAAAGGCTTTGTCCACCTCATCTCACGTCAGACTCGCAGGCTCAGTTGCTCCCAAGGATTTGGTGGTTGTTCGATCGAGCGCTGGTGAATTGAAATTCGGCGAAGTCATTGCAAAGACCGGTGTGCATGCAAATTTTGATGCTGGATCGGCTGAGATCCGACTATCACAGGCTTTCCCTGGCAGCAAACCTACACTGTATGCTTGGAGGCAGACAGCGAAGGTGGGCTGGGAGGCTCAGTCAAAGCTTATCTGGGTATCACCTGAGACTTCTGCAGGCATTGTGACTAGCACAGCTGTGTTCGACGTGAAGGACTTGTTCAAGGCTACTGACGAGGCGATTGAAGGTGATTGCAGTCCAAGCACCGTGCTGTGGTTCGAGCTCTAACGTTCACCCCCAAGATCTCATGCGCGTCAAGGCTGTGCCGGCAGTAGGAGGCCTCTTCGGTGGTCTTCTCAACAACTTTTCACCCTTCGGTGGGTCTTCGGAGGCACCCAAGGCACAAAAGGCTGCTGCGTCACCTAGCCCAGCTGCCCCCAAGCAGACCCCTCCCAAGCAAGCTGCCAAGGCTCCTACACCAACCGCTGCAGATGTCAAGCAGGTCTTGCTGCTTGTCTTACTACCTCGTGATCAAGTCGTTGATCGTTTTCTCAGTCTGCCTCCAATGCCGTTTCTGGTCTCTTTGGAGGAGTTTTCAACGCTCTCGACAAGTCGTTTTGCTTGCCCGTTGTTCCTTGAATGACTCTTGTGCAGTGCACTGCCAACTCAGGACAAGAAGGATACCCCTGCACCGAAGAAGAGCGCCGCTCCCTCACAGACCCCTCCACCTGCTCCTCCTAAGGTCTTGTCGCTGCTCTCCTTGCCCTCCTGATTCTCAGATCCGGTGTACAGGCAGCAGCACAGCCCAAGGCAGACGAGCCGAAGGCTCAGCCTTTTGAGCAAGTTATTGGCAGGTTCCTTCCAACACCCACCCCAGCTGCCAGCCTGAAGTACACTGGCAGGATCGGCAGCGCTGACGTGTCATCAAAGGCCAAGGATGTCTTCAAGGTAGAGCAGAGGGAGGAGGAGGAGGAGTGAGGATGAGGCTGGCGCGCAGGGAGCTGCTCTCAACTTCTTGAACATCGCCGAGAAGATTATCGACAAAGTGGACTCAGAGGTCGGCACGCGGACGCACGCCCGTGTCCCCTTGGGTGACCCCCGTGCAGGAGAAGACTGAAGGAGGAGCGAAGGAGAAGGAGGCTCCCAAGAAGGAGGCTCCCAAGAAGGCTCCCGCGCCACAGCCCGTCAAGAAGGTGCGAGTCCTTTCCGGAGCTCCTGCAGGCTGAGAGGCTGGCGCACATCACAGGCGGAGGAGCCGAAGTCTTCGGCGCCAGCCAAGGACAGCAAAGTGGAGGTAAAGGCGGAGAGCAAGAAGGTGGAGCAACCCCCTGCCAAGGAGAGGTGAGTTGCAAGTCCCGGTCCTGTTGGAGCCCCTGAGGGAGTGAGCAGATCTGAGGACGAGATCCCCATCGCCAAGAAGAGAGCGCTGGAAGTGAACTTGAAGAGGTGGGGGGTCCTTGTTGGTGTGGGGGGTCGGGCTGATGGAAGTTGGCAGGGCGGAGAGAGCAGGGGACCTGAATCTCGGGTTCGGAGCAGAGTGGGAGACTTACATCCCTCCTGATGTCTAAGTAACATGAAATAAAGAAGCCTGGCAAACTTGGCACCAAGACATTTGGAACCCGGGCCACAGATCCCCCAGGCAGATCGGTCAGTGGGCACTGCGGCACTCCTGCTCACAGCATGAACTCCAACTCTGTCACGGAGTGAGTGTAGCAGGAGTCTGCAGGACCTGCTGCAGGAACAGTTGACAGTGCAGGAACCGGTGCAGGAACAGTGCAGGAAGGTCACAGAGTGTATGGAAGGGGATGAGGGGGGATATTTTTGATAGTTGAGGTCAAACGTCTCTAAAGTGGAATGACCCTGAGGACGAGGAAGCGAGGGATGGCGACGATGGCGAGGAAGACGATGATGACGATGGCGATGACGGTGATGGTCCATACAGTGCTCGGAGACCTGACATGCCCTGGAGGTAAGATCGATACTTCGGAGGCCTGCTGTCTGCTTCCCTGTTGAGCCATACTTGACGTTCTTGTGCAGGCTCCATGCTGGATGCACATGGGAACTGTCTTGTTTGTCCAGATGGTATGTGCTCATGACAAGGATATGCTGAATAACATCTCAACAGGAAGCTTCTCTCCCGCAGGATCAACTTTCTGCTCCTTGTGCCCTTCGAGCATGATCCCAAACGTCAGGAAAGACAAGTGCGAGTATTGTCCCCCTGGTTTGGGGCCTCAGGAGGAAACCTTTCTGTTCCCGACGTTCAACATGACGATACGAAAACTTGTCTTCGATCCCCTTGGTGCAAACGTGTCAAAGCTGTCCAACACTCAGCTGCGGATAGAGTTTCCACCAGCGTACCATTATGGCAAGCAAAAGTGTGATTTGGAGCTGCTATTCAAGACTGACTTACAAGTCGGGTTCATCATGACATCCACTTTCGACTTTGTGCAGAGCAGGTATGCTTCAAGAGGTCTCCCTCAATACTTCTCGATGCTGTCGGCGCCCTACGAATCAGATTCGATCAACGCTCCTCTCCTTTACTCGTTTGGAGGACTTTTGAGCTCAAACTTTCCGCCATCCAAACTCGGCCTGATGATGCCGCAAGGTTAGGAGGCAGGAGCAAAGAGCAAAGGAGCTGACGCCTGCATGACCATGCAGGTCATCAAGTCCTCTACATCAAGAACGAATGGATCGACCAGGAGGAATCGGCGGACTACTCCCTCATCCTGGACATCACGTTTGCGCAGGAGCAGAAGCGAACTTCCTGCATCCCCTGCGAGGGTCTGCAGTACAAGGGCGTTGCAGACGCAAGTTGCCGGGACTGTCCGGCTGGGACGTTTGTTGTTGCCTCCAAGACTGGCTGTGCGAGTTGTCCCGTCGGCAAATACTCCCTAGAGGCAGACGGGGTTTGCTCTGAATGTCAGCTAGGTAGGAGCAAGGAAGGGGGGAGAAAGGCTCTCACTTGTCGACCCTCCAGGAAAATTCAACACGGTGACGGGATCTTCGTTTTGCCGGTACTGTCAAGATGTGAGAATAGACCCTAGCGGCAGCTCGACTTGCTCCGATTGTCCCAAAGGGAGCTTCTACAACGGGAAAGAGACCTCGACCGGTTGTCAACTGTGCCCTCTAGGTATCACTGCGAATCTTGCTAAGCCCTTTTGTGACCTTCTTGGTCAGGCAAGTTTTCCGACCTGGAGGGGATAAGCTTCTGCTCCGACTGCCCGCTCGGAAAGTTTTCAGACCACGAGAATTCAACAACCTGCTCCGCGTGTCGCCCAGGCACGTTTGCAGATCAGACGTCTGCAGCTACGTGTGCGTCGTGCAGCAAGGGAAAGTACAACAATGAAACAGGATCGACCGCGTGCAGTTTCTGCCCTGAGGGCAAGTTTGCGGCGAGCGAGGGGATGCTGCAATGTACGTTCTGTGCGGCAGGGAGCTGGATATACCAGGAGGGCATCAACGACTCTCCGACTCTCTGCATCAACTGCTCGCGAGGACAGCAAGGAGAGTACGGGTTCGCCTGCTCCGATTGTCCACCAGGAACGTACGCGCCTGTGGAGGGTCTGGGTGCGTGCTGGCTGTGCCCAAGAGGCAAGCATTCACCCAACGGGATGACGCACTGCTTGGAGTGTACGGCTGACACATATGCCGATCAGGAGGGGACCGAGGGATGGTTCTGTCCTCAATGCCCGTACGGAAAGTTCTCAGAGGCAGGAGCGACATCCTGCTCCTAAGCTCCGATGGACTTCGATGTCCTTGTTCGATCAACCCAAGAGCAATACCCGCTCATTGACGAGCGTTGACTTGTTTTTTTACCAGGTTGTTACAGAGTTCCTGCGCAACCTCAACTTGTAGGAGTACAGATGTAGCCTAGAGCTCACGCATGACTGTCTTGCCATGTACCTCTCGTCATGTTTCAGTCAAGAGAGGTTGGATCTCATGGGCGAAGTCGAGTCTGCCTCAGATTCAGTCTCTTGTTTGTGAGTTGGCAATGCTTACTGGATGGAGTAAATCGGTTTGGGGGGGCTAATTCGACTCAAAACATCCGTCTCGTTGTGCTGGCGTGTACCAACCATGTCAGCTACCAGTGACAGCGCGACGTGCAAGACCATAGACTTGAGTCTCTTGAACTTGATCCAATCCTTGTCTCGTCGCACCTGTTGCGTTTCAGCGTGCAAGGAGCCCCATGACATTGTGTACAAGGAAGGGCGGAGCGCTGGCATCGGAACTAGCTGCATCGGAATCTGCCTGATGCCTTTTCAGGATCTCTTCCGACATATCAGAATCCATAGAAGGCAAGCGCTCGCTGAGCGTCTTCCAGTGCTTCATATCCTTTGACCACTCCCAATACTCTTGAGAATACTTTGAAACTCCCGTCAGAGATGACTTGCAACGGTGAAAACAACACGAGACATTCAACCTTCTTCCAGCGATTCCTCACATGCTGGTGCACAGCCTCCACCACTGAACCCACACAAACTCAGTCATTCAGACTGCAAGAGAGTCAACCAAGCAGACCTCCTGAGCTCAGACCGCCAGCGGGCAAGCTTTTACTTGCCCCCAAGCTGACAAACAAGTTTTAATCCTCAGACGAACAATCACACAAATCTCGCCGGACCGTTGGATCCGTTTTCGTCTCACTACATCATAGGATGTCATTCAAAGCAAGCAAAAGAGTTTCCTCACCTTTTGGTGATCCAGGACTCTTGTGAGATTCAGAATTCTGCTCTCTGTGCTTTCCTTTATGCACAGTAAAATGCTCGGCTCTATGTGCCATTATCTGCTGCAGCGCAATCTCTTGCAAAGTTCTCAAGCGAGACAAAAACTGTCTGATAGTCTTTTGAACCAAATAAACGCGTGACTTGTACATTCTGAAGGCTTTCAGGAGGAATACGCTTTGAGAAAAAGCGATCAGTTCATATTTGATGATTGTGCATGCTTTTCGTTTCCTCCTTATCCTATATTGAAGGAGAAGTTTCCAAAGCCGTTTCCGGACGAATCGATTAATCTTGCACTTTCGCGCGAACCTGTACGTCCAAAGCTTCCACTTGAAATTTCGCTGTATGCAGAAAACGGACTTTTGCAGCACTTGGAGTCTTGCACGGAATTCCCTGCCTTGTCGGATTGAATCCATCCAGCAAATGATTCTTGTAGTGGCAACAACACAAGGCAATAACACTCTGACCAGTGGCGCGTACTTCTCGACTTTTTTCTTTCTCTCCGCCTCATCTCTCAATGCAAGCTTTCGCAATGTTCTTTCTTCAATCTTCTGCACAATTTCGTGAAATTTCTCGTCAAGATGTCTCTTCTTAGACTTTTGAGCCGCCAAGACTCTCAAGTCTGTCTTTATGGTGACAAGGCTCTGTTGCTTGGTCCGTGCATTTGGACCTGACATCTCGACTGTGGCATTTAAAGCATTCATCTTGATGAAATCTGTCTGTTTCTTCTCAAGTCTTTTCTGAGCCTTGTACATCTTGATCTTTTCTATCAGAATTTGTGGATTGTGACGATATTCCTCAAGCTTTCTGCTCAGATTTTCGTTGACTTGCCTATTCTTGCAAACCTCCACTGCAGTAGCCGTTTGAATTTGCATGACTTCCTTTCTTTGACCCCTGCTTTGCACATTCTCTTCCTTGGGCTGGAAGGCGACGAGAGGCGTCTGCAACTTACTGGGTGTGGTCGGACTGGGAGATGGTGAGCGTATCTGATATCTCACTGTCATCGTCACATCTTGACAGGCTCACAGCACCTGATACGAGAAGAGTCGCGTGTCCAGCTCCTCTAGCTTCTCAGCGTTTCTCTCAGCAGTTCTCTGTACAGATTTAGTGATGTAGCCAGGGCCTTGATAATCTTCCGGCAGCTGATCAACCACGTCAGGATCAGGATATCTCACCCTCGCTAATTGTCACCCTGGCGTTGAGGTAGTAGTTTCCGGGCGACCAGATCTTTCTCTTAGAGAATCCTGATGGAGATGTTGTCAGATGATGACTTGCTGTCGCATCACGAGCACCAGCTTCCAATGCCCTCCTTGCTTCTGACCTCGGATCATTCTCTACATCGTCCTCGAACCCCAAGTCTAGAGTAAAATCCTTCAATCCCAAGCCTTGCCGCAACTATCAAGACCGATAGAATAGTCCGGCCAAGCAGGCAGATGCAAGGACTTGGTGTAACCTCCGCGATTCATTGCATTTAAAGGATCTGAGCGAACTTGACGAGTGGTCGAGCTTTGAGCCGCTTTACTCGAATGTGGTCGCTTTGCCCTGAACAAAAAATCAAAATACTGAGGTCGAGATCAAGCATCAGTTACCGGAAAGGATCCAAGGGCACGCTGGATGGCCTGCTCCTTGGACGATCTTGTACAGGACTAGAGACAACCCGGAAATCATGCTCCGTGATTGCCATATCAACATCGGCAAGGACATCGGGCCTCCGTTGTGTCTGGGAGTTCAATCGTTAGTAGGGGAGCGCTGCATGGAAGATCAAGCTTCGGTGACCTGAGCAAATGCTGTCTTGGGCCTCCAGGTTCCATTCCCAGCAGACATGTATAGAGATGCGGTCGTTGAAGGCGAGAGAGGAACAGCGCGGCGGCAAGCAGCTCAACGCTTTTCAAACAGCTACGTCTTGTCACTCCCTCACACAGCACAAGTAAAGTCTTCCGGCATGGCATGCATGAAGATGATGCTGCAGCATGGGGTCACCACAGGTCGTCAGCCTCTTCTCACGTCAACTTAGTTCTCAGGAAGAGCCACTGTGGGTCAAGTTGGCGCCATGGCACCGTCACGAATATTCTGCCATAAGGCGAACCTGGGCGGGCCTACCGTCTCACCTAATTTTCTGTTACTCAAACAGCCTGAGAGCGGCGCGGGCCCTGCAGAGCCCCGCCGCCTCAGTTGAAAGCCCCCGGGCCCGGGGCTCCCAGTGCCCGGCGACCGGGCCCGCCGGCCGGGCCGTACCCCTCTGTGACATGAGCTTGCATGGGTACAAAGCTTTACTCAATTAGTTGACAGCTGAGCAGTCAAATTTCATGCTCGCAGATCAGTTGCACCCCTGCAGCTGCCTTCACCCTCTCTGTCGTCTTCCGCCTTTGTCTCAGTTTCCTCCTGTTCTCTCACCTTGCTCAGTCTTTCCTCAGATTGTTGTGCTTTCTTCCAAGTGGCCACTTCCTTGCAAGTTGACTCACTGTTTCCACCTTCCGCATCTGTCTGCGCCGTCTGACTTCAATATCAGCATATGGCAGCAGCTGCTGCTGCATGGCACGCAGCTCGGAGGCGAAACAATTCAAACACTTTTGCCATCTCAAGGGCCAGCCCTCAGCGGGAAGCTGCCAAGAAGTTACAGCAAGACTTTTGGGCCCGACTTCAGAAAGAAGCTACATTAAGACAGGTGAAACCACTCTTTTGCCACAAGTGTGCTTTTGATTTCCAACTGAGCTGAATGAGACAGTTGATGGCAAAGTATGACGTGACAAAAGATAACAAACTTGACAAAGTGGAACTGGGAAATCTGCTACAGGTATAGGAGGAGAATGGTTGATAGTTCTAAGACCTTGTGTCAAGGACCTGAGCGGGGGTGAAAAGCCAACCAATGAGGAAATAGAGTGGATCCTTATCACTTCAGACAGATCTGATAACAAGATTGACAACGCTGTTGGTCTGAACGAGATTGAATATGCCGTGGACCTGTGGAAGTCGTACATCGGAGTTAAGCCAGAGTTCGACAAGATATTCAACCAGTACGACAAAGATCACACAGGACAACTCAACTTCGACGAGCTGAAAAGCTTACTAAAAGATCTCAACTCTGGAATCGAGCCAACGGATCAAGAAGTTCAGATGGTGATGGACATGGCTGATGGCGCCGTCTTGAACAAGTCCGGAGGAATCTCGAGAACTGAGCTGCAAGGTGCGATCGCGATCTGGTACTCTTACACTGAGGATTCCAAGAAGAAGGGGTGTTGCACGATTCTTTGACGACTCGGATGTCAGAACTCTTCTCCTCTGCTGCTGACAACGCAACATTTCTAGTTGTAGAACATTGGTGAGCTTGACGTCGATTCAATCAGAATCGTTTTGAGACATTACTTTATTTGAGACATTACTTTATTGAGATTGAATCAACAGTGCAAGGTGTACAAAGAGATAACTTTGCTGTTATCCGCAACGATGAAGTGCGGAACATCGCTGTGGACTCCTACAAGTTGACATACCACATCCCTCCTGCACAAAGAACTCCATCAATACCCAGTGGAGAAAAGCTTAAAGACTCTCACGGCTTCTGTCCATGCATGATTTCGAGCAAGATCAGCTGATCTCCTATCAAGTGCGCATCAGGTGCGCACGTTCGAGGTTCCACGAGGTTCCACAGCTGGAGCCTTCCGTCTCGAGAGCCTGTGAAAACCCTGTACTGAAGTGACACCTTCATCAGTAGAGGCAGGAGAAACAGAGAACAAGCAACCTGAGGAGCAAGTCGAGGAAATGAGATGCAGCTGATGATACCTTTTGTTTGTTTGAAGACATACTCTTTCACGATTTCGTTGTCATACAGCAGCGAGAATGTTCTCAACGTTCCATCTCCTGCTCCCAATGCCACTGTTTTCCCGTCCGCTGAGACATCCAGACACTCCACCTCTGGGTTTTTTTGCCCCTTCTGGATTCTGCCCTTCTTGATCAACGCATTCTTGACCTTCCTCGGAATCATGTCTTCAAGGACGTGTGAATAGGTTTTGTAGCCCTCTGGAAAGGTACTAGATTCATTGTGGCCATGCAGTAGCAATCGACTGTCCTGTCATGAACTCGTCAGATTCCCGAGCAAACCTCGAGACGTCTGATCACCTGTCCACCTGACACAAGATCATGCTGCCAGAGAGGCAGGGGTGTCCTCCATCTCAAACAAGTCGCCTTGCCCTCATGTCTTCCTTGTAGAGTGCAAATCTTGCGGCTGCGTTCGTGGTTATTTGAGTGCAGGAGTGAAGCGACAAGATGAAATCAACCTGAGACGTTGTAAGTCTATGACGTGGATCTCCCCTCCATCATCTGCTGCAGCTAGATACTTGCTGTTATAATCTATCGCGATCTTTCTTATCGTATGCTCTGAGACCGTCGATGAATCCTTTTTCAGCTCTGTCTGTACAACCTTTTCCGGCGCCTTCGGGTATCTGGTGTCGAAAGCTAACACGTTGCTTCCAGCTGCAAAGTAGACGTTGTAATCACTCCCACGAGACAGCGCTACCGATGTCACTGCCTTCTGGGGAATACCTCGTGCCACGACTTCCGAGGACAACAGCAGCACGCATCTTGCAGTCCGCGTGTCCCACGCCCTTACAGTTCCATCCTCACTTCCAGATAGCAGGAGATGTCTGCCGTCTGCGATGTCCAAGGAGTTCACCGAGCCCTCGTGCCCAAGGATGCAGCGCTTGTCAACTTCGAACTTGGTGCATGGTGTGGGGACGGAGGGATCGGTGGACCTTGCCTCCGACAGCAGGAGCAGGAGAAGAACGCCAGGACCCAACTTTAGCCATGCTTGCATAGTGGCTTGGCTGCCTCTACATGCTTACATGCCTACATGCCTGATAGTCCTACCCACGCGCTCCCTGGCGCTACCCTCCCTCGTCTTCATGCAACGATGGACCCATGCAAGAGATCCTGATGAATTGACCCCACCCCTAGATAGTTCTGGGGTGATTGAGAAAGGTGGGGGTTGGTAGGTGGTGATGAGATGCGAACACTCATCATCCCGTCTTGTCTATGGCAGATAGTGGTGGTGATAGAGGAGGAGGAGCGGGAGGAGAGGGAGGAGAGGGAGGAGAGGGAGCAGAGGGAGGAGAGGGAGCAGAGGGAGCAGAGGGAGGAGAGGGAGCAGAGGGAGCAGAGGGAGCAGAGGGAGCAGAGGGAGCAGAGGGAGGAGAGGGAGCAGAGGGAGGAGAGGGAGCAGAGGGAGCAGAGGGAGCAGAGGGAGCAGAGGGAGGAGAGGGCGGGAGGAGAGGGAGGAGCAGGTAGAGTATCAAAGGGATCACGATCTCTTATTCGTGAAAGAATGAATATTAGCGATGGTGCGGGACTTTTATGAAGGCCGTCCAAAGAGTAGAGGTCAGCAGAAACTCATGAGCTAACGTATGCCTCCAGCCCTGAGCCTCCAGTCTCCTCCGCCTCCATGCAGCAACATTTGGTCATCCTTGTTATTCTTTCATTGATGGTGCAATCCGGAACCATGCCATGTACTCTCAGAGGTCCCACTTGCAGACACGTGGTGCGACTTCGGGGAGGGGAGGATCAGCAGCGGACGTCAAACATCACGCCATACTCTGTGGAGGGGGAGACAGACTACGAGAAGATCGTCACGTTGTTCGGGTCCAAGGTGATGAGACGGGAGGCGGAAGGAAGGATTGATGTTCGCCACCAGGAGATTGACAGCGAGCTTATCAGCAGACTTGAGCGAGTGACTGGCAGAGCAGCGCACCACCTCATCAGAAGGAAACCTCACTCGCTCACTCGACGGTCGATGTGACTCCTTGCTCACAGGAATATCTTCTTCTCTCACAGAGATCTCGATAAGATACTTGACATGTACGAAGCTGGGACACCATTCTATATCTATACCGGAAGGTGCAATGATCTGGGTTGTTCTCACAGAGCTGTGCTCACTGAATGTCAGGGGTCCTTCCTCATCCTCTCTTCATGTCGGACATCTGATTCCATTCATGATCACGCAATGGCTACAAGTGAAGATCGTTGCTCTGAGAAAGACGATTGACTGATGGCCATTCGCTTGTTGCAGGAGGCTTTCAATGTTCCGGTCGTGATACAACTGACGGACGATGAAAAGTTTCTCTGGAAGGTCAAAGTCTTGCTTGTGATGAGTTTGCCATTTCAACAACCTTCAGGGAGGCAATCTTAGCACGTATCAACAGTTTGCGACCGAGAACGCCAAAGATATTATGGCAGTAGGTGTGCGACTTTTGATTAAGTTGTTGGGTTTCCTGAAGAACATATTTCAGGTTTCAACCCAGAGTTGACTTATATCTTCACCAACACCCTGGACATCTCATCGCTCTACCCAACTGTCTTGCAGATCCAGAGGTTCCCTTGTCTTTATCCTCATGTTGGACTCTTAAATGGAGGAATTTCTGCAGATTGATTAATGCGAACAAAGTTCAAGCTGTCTTCGGACTACAAGAAAGCAACAACGTTGGGCAATTTGCGTTTCCTGCAATGCAGGTGATTTGTCACAACAGAGGGGTTTCTTCCTTAACTTTTTCACCAGATTGCTCCATCTTTCCCAGACTGTTTCGTGGACATCTTCGGGGGCTCTACGAGTGAGTACGGAGAAATCCTAGTTTACAATGTTAATTGAAAGCCAGGGCTGCCCTGCTTGATTCCTTGTGCGATTGATCAAGATCCGTATTTCCGATTGGCAAGAGACGTCGCAGCGAGATTGAACATGTCTAGTGCTTGCTCCTGGAGCTCCTGCTGAAACATTTGTAGGACAAAACCGGCTCTGCTGCACAGCAAATTCATTCCTGCGCTGCAAGGCGACTCGGGAGGTGCCGGCAAGATGAGCGCGTCCGTGGAAGAGTCCGCCATTTATCTCACAGACTCTCCTCAACAAGTAGAGGAGACAAGATGCATCGTGAAAAACAATTGATTCTATTCTCATCTGCAGATCAAGAACAAGATCAACAGATATGCTTTCACTGGCGGGCGAGCTACAGTGGAAGAGCATCGCAGGTAGGATATGTCACAGACTATTCATCTTCTTGTTGACCTGATCCTTATCTAGATTGGGAGGCGACTTGAAGGTCGATGTCCCCTTCAGGTGCCCGATCATCTTGTTGTTTCCGCGCTCATCTCTGGCAGATACATCGAATTCTTCCATGAAAACGACACGCATGTGCAAGAACTAGCGAGTAAACTTGCTCCTTGCCAGTGAGTTGATGGCACTAAAAGGATATCACAGGATCCTACACCAACGGCACACTCTTGAGTGGAGAGATGAAGTCAGAGGCGATCTCCTGCCTTCAGGTGAAATTTTCTGTCTCAAGATGAAGTTGTGATGATCTGCCAGGATATTGTGAAGCGACATCAAGAGCGAAGGAAGGAAATTTCGGATGAAGTCTTGTCTTTCGTTCGCTCAAGGAGAAGAATAACTATTCCGATGAAAAAAGCTGCTTAACAGCAAAGAGTCTGCTAGTCTCATCTAATGACGATCTCGTTCTCACATTCACTTCTCGTTCCTTTTGCCCAATCGGTATTATACTTCACAAGCCTTTGACTTTCGCTGGCGTAGGAATATTTCCTTGTGCTCTACCGGTTGTAACGTCGGAATCGGTGGTCCTGTCTTATCTTGGCGTGGCCACGTGGTCGAATCGCTTCAGAGATTCCGCATTTGCGCTGATACTCTCTTTCGTGTGCCTGTACCAGGGTCATTCAGCAAATGGTAGCGGGCAAACGGAAACTTTACCTTTGCTTCAAGGATCTGCTTGCGCTTTGCATGCCGGGTGTAGTCCAACACGCGCTCCAACGCCTCATCGCTGTCTTCATTTTCCAGAGTACTTGATGCTTGGCCGTTCATTATTCCACCCGCGGACTTTCCTTGCACCCTCATGTTTACGTTTTTGGCCCTCACATTTCTCATCGGGATCAGGGTATGGTTCTGCCAGTCCCCAGACTCTCGTTTCATCCTTCGCTTCATGTTCGCTTCTCTCAGCAGAGGGTGCAAGAAGACCCCTCGCTCAAAGTCATAGAATCGCTCTGATGGGTCAATCTTCATTGACACGAGGGCAGTTTCATTGGCGTTCTTCTTGTCAGGTGCTGATATTCTCTCAATTCTCTCCTCGACCGTCTCCCTGATCCTCCCCTGACACAGCATCATCAGAGCAGGAGCAAGTCAGTCTCATCGATTCACCTCAAGTCGAATGCCGTACGAATGCGGGATGATCGACCTGTCAATAGAAACGATCTCAGCCATTCTGAAAGTCCCGTCAGATTCCCTGTATTTCACAATATCTCCTTCAGAGAATTGTTTAGGGTCTTTCAAAACATCTGCCGTCTCCAGAAGATCATGAGCACCTTGAACAAGATCGTCCCATAACAATTCTTCGTCGTTGTCCAGTTGGTTTGTCATCAGAATTTCATCATTCCCTTTGGTATCGATCGCCTTCGATCCATCGTCCAGCCCCCCTGTGTAGGGTTTCCTGCTCATTGTCAGCTCCTCCATCTCATGTGGCTCAAGATTATCATCGATGTTCTCCGGCAGCTTGCCTCTCAGAATGTCTTGCTTCTTTGAAATGAACTGATGTGTGTACTGCGGGTTGTCTATCAAGCCGATCTCGTGATAGTTCTCGCGATCCTCCATCTTGCATGATGCCAGTACGTTCTTCAGCTTTCTTTTTGCCTTCTCATTCTGTTTTTCCTTCCTTCTCTTTCTATGAGCTTTGTTGATCTGTAGAGGATTCTCACCCTCTCGTTTGTGCTTTGGCTTCCAGTTGTGAATAATCCTTGCCTTGCTCTTCTTTCCTCCGCGCAGGTGTACAATCAAGATGTGTGGAGCAAGGTTCGACGTACAGCAGCTCACGCCCACACTCGTCTCCGTCAGCCCTGAGTTGACGGGCATAGAGGATGGAAGGGGCAACCATACCATGACCATCAGCACCAGCAGAAGAGGGCGGGGGAGTGCCATGAGGAGTCGGATCTCAGGCATGGCGGCCCGGCCCGTGTTGCTGCAATGGCTTCAGAAGTTGGGATGACTTCTGCCCCTCGTTTCTTCTAGCTCATAACAACGAGGCAGGCCTGCAATTTTGATAATGAACTGGACGGTGCGGGGATGAGGGTTACGATTGGGTATGTGCGGGGAGGTGCCGGCAGGAGAGGCGACGGGATTTATGGTGCCCTGATTTCAATCCTTACCCCAACAGCGTCTCTGCTTCTTCCTCCACCCTCTCTTCTCTTCCTCTTCCTCCCTTCTCTCTCTTCCCCGGGGATTCCTCGTGCCCCTCTCGCTCTACCCCTTCACCGTACAACCTCGTTCCGGTGGATTCGTTTCCGTCTCCCTCCGCCTTCTTGAGGTGGAGCTGGCCGCCCTTCATTCCCTGCCTCTCATAGCATTCATCCCACTCCACATGTAAGGGGCACCGACCTCATAACAGGACCTGCACTTCTCTCCCTCCATCAGACCCGAGAGTATGGCTGACAGCCACACGGAAGCTGTCGTCTCGAACGATGAGCATCACTCGGAAGAATCGGAGGTGAAGCGTTTGCAGTGGGCGATAGAGAAGTTGGAGGAGTTGAAAGACCACCTGTCGAAAGACATTGGCACCCGCATTCTGGTGGAAATCTTCACAAGCATAATTGACAGTCTCGTGCGAGATGTGTGCACCGACGTTCATAGAGACATTTGTTTCGACGTCCTACCTCTACCAAATGAGGATAGTCAAAACATGAATCGTATTGTGCAAGCAGCTGGTTATGATGTGCACGGACAAGTATCGCATCTCTCTTTCATTTGCTTTCTTCCTCAAACATCTTACAGATCCCCGAGAAAGTCCCGAAAAGTGAATTTTTCAACTGCGACCATTGTGCTCAAAAGATTGGTGCTGCGAAATATGCTGGTAGCACATTGCTTGAGAGAGAAACTGTTTCATTGACCTGTCCACAGCTCATCTTGCGAAGTGCATGGGGCATGGAGGCCGTCAAAGAGCAAGTCGAAGCGCTGGCGCAGCGCCGACAGAGTCCGGGTGAACGATAGCAGGACTGACTCTGGTGCTGATCCGCGTGCGAGCAGCTCTACCAACACTACATCTCCATCTAATCTGCGGAATTTGAGCTCGCCCCCGGCGGTGAGTTCACCGAAGCATGCAGGAGCTTGCGTAGCTCACTTGTTGACAGAACGTGGGATCGAGTGGTAACGTCAGTCCAGTACAGACGGCCAGCAGAGTCACCAGTCCTCCTCAGGTAGCCTTGTCAAGCCTCCTGCGCTTGCGCTCGCCTTTTCACGAGAGGCTGCACAGGCGAATTCATCGCACTCGCCGAGTGGAGTTGATTCGCTGGGGAAACGATCCAGACAGGTGAGTTAGTTTCACGCTCGTTGGCCATGGCTTGACCAGCTTGCTACAGGCCAGTGGAGACGTGGAATAAGGTTGAAGGGAGTTAGAGTAGAGTCAGCGGCATGCCGTGACAAGGCAGCAGTATTGATGAAGGTGGTGATAGTGTTAAGATGAAATAATCGGAATCACGAACAAGATATGAATAGAAGCCAATATGTGAGGTAAAATTCGTTGAATCCACATGGAAAACTTAGAAACCCGTGATAGCCTTGATGCAAATAAATTGGCCCTCACAAGCAGCTTTCTTGGCAGCTTCAGCCGCGGCCTATTCAGCAACATCAGCGAGAATAGGACGAAATGAGACGAGGAGGTGCAGAAAAAAAGACCTGAGCCTCCTTGACGACTTTCTCTGCATCTTTTTCAGCTTTCTGGAGTTCCTTTAGATTGGCCTGGAGAGGATAAATCAATGTATTGCATCACAGTTCTTGCTTTCACCTGTGCCTTCTGTAACTCCTTCTTGGCATTACGCGCTGCCGTTTCCCTCTGAGCAAGCAGAGACTGCCAAGCCCTCAGACCAACTGAATCTCAACACCTGTGTAGGCTACCTGCTTCTCACTCTCACTCAAAATTTTCTTTGGCTCCTCGCTTGCAGGCTTCTGGGCATTCTTTGCGGTCTACAAGCTCATTCAACTTTCTAGTCGCGCACACGAGCAATAACTCACAGCCTGTGCCTTGGCCTTGGCCTTCACTGGAGCTGCATCCTGCACGACCACAGCAGCCTGCGGCAAATTGCAAGAGTTTCAAAGCTATCCATCCACGTGGGTTGCTCACCTTCTCCTCTTTGTTGGTCTCAGCTGCCTTAGGAGAAGCTGCTGACTTCACCTGCAACAAGAAGTCAAGGAGTCAAGAAAGGCAGTTGCGAAGATTATTGCGCAACCTCTTTGGACGATTTTTCTGCAGCCTTCGACTTTTCGGCCTTCGCTTTCTCATCCTATCAATATTGTTAAATGCTAACAAGCAGCGACAAGGCAACACACATCCTGCTTCTTCTTCGCTGCTCGCTTCTCTGACGCTGCTTTGTCAGCTTGAGCCTGAGAATAGTGAGGGACTCAAGTTCAGAGCTGTCGAGTGACCTTCAATTCTCTCTCCTTAGCTTTTGCTGCTTCAGCTGCAGCTTTCTTTTCGGCCTCGACCTGGTGCTGAATCAGCAAACCAACAACAAGGTTGGCTGCAGATGCCAAATATTATCACCTTCTCCTTGGCCTCCTTCTCAGCCTGCATTAAAAAAGCATTGAATGGTCAAACTATGTCTGGCAAGAGGGAGGTCTTTTCGCAGACCTTTGCCTTAGCTTCCGCTTCAGCCTGTAGATATATATTGATAAATATTCTACAAGACAACGGAGCAGCGAAAGACCTTCAGCTTGTTAGCTTTCTCCCTCTCGATCTCAAGTTGTGATTTCTCGCTGAGAGCATGTCACAAAACAAATCATCCAATGCCTGGAAAGAATTACGCAAGATTTTGGAAATTGTATTTACGAGCCCCTGAATCTTTCGAGGAAACCAATCATATTCGAAAAACAACAAAAATCATTTTCTACCAACTGGAGATGGTGCAAGGAAGTCTTGATTCGGCTCTAACTTCGTTGGAATCTAGAGAGTATCATTACATACGCAAAGAACAAAAAGGAGTGCGAGAAGTCGACCTTAAACTTTCCACCCGTTGGAAGAACTACCTCTTCTCCAGGTTGTGGGATTCTGACATTCTGCAACGATTTCAAAACATCATCGGTGGAAACCTAAAAGTCCGTCAACAGAACTTGATGTCATAACACTAATTCTGATACTTTGGGAATCTCAGGGGCCTGAAGATCACAAGGAGCAACTTAGTGATTGAAGAAACGAGAAAAAGACACAATCTCGGAAGACTGACCTTGAAGCTGTCAAAAGAAACAGAGGGTTTCGCAGCTGAGGCTTCTTTCTATCAACACTAATCATGAAAATCCTGACACAGGTTACCCTTTTCGTACCTTGGGCTCATTCGGTGCATTCGTTTCTGACTTCTTTGGCAAAGGGGCTGGAGTGGTAGCAGGAGCTGAACTCCGCTTTGGCACGCCCTCCTCCACCCTCGCAGCTGGAGAGCTCTTGCTTGAAGCTTTGCCCTCGATATCTTCAACCGTCTTCGCCTTCACCTTGCAGGGTATGAACGAAAACATTGAAAGAAAATTCATTTCGCAGCACCTTTGAACTCTCCGACTTGTCTTGCGGTGCAGGGGCAGGGGCAGGGGCAGGAGCCTTCAACTCAGGCATCTTCATATCGAAAGACTTTGGGATACCAAAACTCTTGATATCAGGAGTCTTGAAGTTGTCGGGCATAGAGAACTTGGACATATCGGGAGCTTTGAAGTTTTCTGGCATGGAAAATTTCGGCATATCTGGAGCCTTAAAATTGTCGGGCATGGAGAATTTCTTCATGTCAGGAGCTTTCAAGTTATCACTAGATGTCGACTTCTTGTTCGAGTCAGTCGTACTCAAAGGCGCTGTCTTTGGCGGCTGGACGGGCTCCTCCTTCTTAGTCGGAGCCTGCAAAGGGAAATCATTAACTAGACTAGAATGTACGCGCTGTCATTCCTGAGCAGGCGCTGCAGGTGCTACAGCAGATGGGGCTTGTTTAGCCGGTGGTGGTGAAGATGCTTCGTCTTTCAGGAGATCCTTCCAATCTCCGATCCCCAAGTCGTCCTGCGCAATTAGAAACCGTCCCTGATACTTTTGTTGGAAGTCGTATTGACGCTCGGGTACTTTAGGTTGTTCTACAGCAGCATAGGACTCGGCCAAAGGTGTTCCAAGGATCAAAGATGATGCAAGAAAATGAGCTATCACAGTATCTCTCATCCTGTTCAATACAGATCTTTCGTTTCCGGCAAGATTCATCCTTCCTGCCCGAGCCCCGACGATACAGGAACTCCGAGCCCTCGAGACACCAGACTTTAGCATACCCATGCTGCAAGGATTGACTGAGAATCCGAGGGACGAGGAAGAGTGTGCCTGTCTGAGTTGCTCGCCTGAAGCTGCCGCGATAAGCATGGCTATCACCATAAACCGCGCCATGCCAAGTGATCCTTTGTACCCACCACCCTACCACCTACTACAACCTTTCTACCTCTACCCCAGTGTGAAGATCTTCCTTGAGACAGTACCCTACTCCCTTCAACACCCTACCCCCTTGATATGAATAAAGTCTCGGAAATGTCCCCCTTATACCCCATCTTGAGTACTACCCACCCCACGCATCCAAGAAACAGTGAAAATTCACCCTACCCCCCTCGAACTACACGACCTGAGGGTCATAAGGTGTCAGATATCAGATTTTAAACCACATCCCCACCCATACCCATAGCTGCATCTTGATCAGAACTGTGCAGAGAACTGTGGGCCAGCCTCAGAATGGTACCCGAGCCATTGCTCTGAGGTGGACCCGATGGATGAGGTATCACTAAACTGACCTTCAGGTCCGACCTTATCCACCACCATGCACACTAACTCGCACAACGGAGGTGCCGGCGTTGGGGAGTCGGGAGAGAGAGACGGTGCCTCACACAGACGGTGTCTAGACATCAGATGGAGGGAACCAACCCCAGTGAGGAGAGTTGTGTTGAAACGGAACGCAGAAGACAGTTACTATCACCGTTTGCACTACACAAAGGGATACGGTTCAATTGGCGCTGAAACAGCAAGAAGGCTTATAATGTGCATTATACTGTTTCAAATGGTACATCTGGGCTCGTCGTGTGGACTTCAAGTCCTCACTCAACCATATCAGGGAATATCAGGATCAAAATTGGGAAATTTTACTCTCAGTTTGACAGAACACGACCACTGCAATTTTTCAGAATTTTTCATTGATATAGATCTCTTCAAGAATGGTCTTCCAGCAGATTCTCTTAGAGGAAAGCAGGAATTTCAAGTCTCAAACTCTACAATCATCTTTTCAGGCCTTGTTATTTATTCGAATGCGGGGCTCAACTTCTCGTTGAAATTTTCTTTGCATCTTGAGAACGACGTTATTTGGGCGGAAAGCTCAAACTTCACTCTGTCACCTGCAAAACTGACGATCATGTTGCAACCGAATAATCACATTGTTGGTGGACTTTTGAGCTCTCGAGTACAGAGCTTTGACGCGCAGGGTAGCGTGCTTTTACATGACACTTCTTCTCGCATGTCGGTGGAACTTGTGGATTTCAGTGATACAGGAGCGCTCCTTGACTGTACGATGGGCACAGGTTGTTTCAGCAGTGTATCAATCAATGGTACATTTTTATTCTCGAATCTAATCATCAAACTCAACCATCTGAAGTTGTTCTACAATGCAACTTTTGCATTGAAATTCCACTTTCAACCAAATTTGGGAGAGACAAGGAGCATTCCTTTCACGGTATTCCCCTTTGCTTGCAAAACTTTAGATTGCATACCTGGACTATATTTTTCTACTGTTGATATCCTGACTGATAGCAAGGTCATGTGCCTTTCGTGTCCGCCTGGCCACATCTGTTCAAATGGCCTCAAGCAGATAACTCCGTGCCCAAGAGGAACCTACGCCTCCACGCAAGATGGCTCCCTTGTCTCATGTATCCCGTGTCCTGCAGGATCTTTTGCTGGAATTGGTGCAACTTTTTGTGCGACTTGTACTGTGGGCAATTACTGTGTAGACGGTGTAGAGTTTGAATGTCCAACCGGAACTTATTCTGCTGGGAATCAGACTGCTTGTTATGAATGTCCAGCTGGATTTCGTTGTGGATCCGTCGATGCATTACCTTCAGTTTGTATCCCTGGCACATTTTCATCTGCTGGTAACATCAATTGTATACCTTGTCCTGAAAATCAATGGTCGTTGAGTGGTGCGACATCGTGCTTGGATTGTGCGGATGGGATGTTTGCTAATAAGACTCAGTGTATTCCTTGTCTTTCAGGACACAGTTGCACCAACGGTTCAATACCACAACAATGCCCCGATGGCACATTTGCATCATCATCGATGAGTGTGTGCTCCTCATGTTTGAATGGTTTGATAGTTGACTGCGACCGGTCTAGTTGCAGGCGTTGTCAAACTGGGGAAGATCCGAATACTTCTTGTCAGGAATGTTTTGATGGGCATTACTCAGACAATGGCCGTCCTCCTTGTAATCCTTGCCCTGCTGGGTTTGAATGCCCGTCCTCAGTGACAAAGATACAATGCAGAGCGGGTTACATTTCTCATTCGAAGTCAATGGCTTGCTTGCCCTGTCCATCTGGATATTCTTGCCCATTTCCTGATCAGCCAGATGTCATGATCCCGTGTTTGCCTGGATTCTATTCAAATGGTGCTCAAGAGGTGTGCAAACGTTGTCCAGCAGGTTTTTTTTGTACCAATGCATCCATGCCGCCTTTACCGTGTCCGAATGGCACATTTTCTGCTGAATCATCAACAATTTGTTCAACTTGTCCGATGGGGCATTATTGTAATGATTCATCACATGATCCCATCCTTTGCCCACCTGGTACCTTCAACAACCTGAGCGGTACTTTTTCCCTTGACACTTGTGTTGTTTGTCCCATCGGGAAAATTGCGCCTAACCCAGGTGCCTCTTTCTGTATACCTTGTCCAGCAGGTTATAGGTGCTTAAGCTCTCGTTCGCTTGACACACAATGTGAACCTGGATTTTATTCTTTTGACAATCAAATGGATTGCTCTATCTGTCCAAGGGGTTATGCTTGTGTAACAAATTGGGAAAGTCCGATTCCTTGCGAGAATGGAAAATATTCGGAAGCAGGTAAGACAACATGCAAAACTTGTCCTGTTGGTATGTACTGTCCAAATGAACCCCCGGGTAATACATTTCCTACTCCATGTCCTTTTGGGCAATTTTCTGGTCCAGGACAATCGGTTTGCACTCAGTGTCCAGAGGGATATTCGCCTTTCAATGGATCTAGCGTTTCTTGTCAAGCTGAGTCCGCTGCATTTTGTCTCAGATGTCCGCCTGGCTTTCAATGTGATTTTGATCAATCGCCTGTTGCCTGTCCATCTGGAAAGTTTGCATCTGGCGGTGTTCGAATTTGCTTGGATTGTCCTCTTGGTTATTTTTCGACTTCGAAAGCTGGCTTTTGTTCTCCTTGTCCACAAGGGAGTTTCTGTCCAACCGCGAACGCAGCACCCATGAGTTGCACCGCTGGAACATACAGCTTAGGGTTGGCAACAGTCTGTGGTCACTGTCCAGCCGGCCAATGGTCTCCGACTACCTCAAGTGTCTGCTTTCCTTGCCCATCTGGATATTTTTGCAGAGATTCTCAAATTCCGCAAGCATGTTCCGCTGGCTATTTTTCTCACCCAAACCAGACAATCTGTACAAAATGCAGTCCAGGAAAATATTCGAAATCCATGTCTTCGTCTTGTACCGTTTGTCCGGCAGGTTTTTATTGCCCAATAGACTGTCCGTCTGCAACTTTTGAACCTATTCCATGTCCAGCGGGAACTTTCTCTGAGTTTGGAGCTGAAAATTGTACCGTTTGCAAAACAGGATCGTATTCGATCGGGAATGCATCTGCCTGTACAGTATGCCCTCCTGGTTTCTACTGCAGCACGGATCAACATCCTCTACCATGTCAAAAAGGTACCTTCTGCGATTCCAACTGTACCGTTTGCAAATCATGTCCACTTGGTACCTTCTCCTCCGAACTACGCTCATCGAGTTGTCTCGAATGTCCACCGGGGCACTATTGTGATTTCGAGAATTCACAGATCCCTAAAGATTGCCCAAGGGGAACGTATTCATCTTATCATTCTTCAACGTGTACAGCGTGTAATCCTGGCAAGTACGCACCAAACAATGCTTCAACGTGCTCCGCTTGTCCTCAAGGATTTTCTTGTTCAAATGGTTCTAGCATTCCTGTAGCATGTGCTGCGGGAACATTCTCAGCATCAAGTTTTAGCTCATGCAGCAAGTGTCCAGATGGCATGTACTCCGCAAACATAGCAACCTCATGTATGGGATGTCCATCTGGCAAAAAATGCGTAGGGGGACTAGCCTTCGACTGCCCTCCTGGAACATATTCAAAAAGCTCTCAGTCCGGTTGTTTACTTTGTCCTCAGGGCAGTTATTCGAATTTCTCTCAATCTGACCGCTGTTTTCTTTGCCCCCAAGGTTTTCGATGCGGAGAGGGTAGCATCCAACCTACAGCTTGTGCATTTGGAAAATATTCGAACGCTAATTCATCATCTTGCTTTGATTGTCCGCCAGGTCAATATTCGGTCTCACCATCTTGGAACCATTGCAGCGAATGTCCTTTCGGAAAATTTTGCAATGGTTCAAGCTCACTTCCAATTTCATGTGAACCTGGTACTTTTGCAGGGACAGGAGCTTCAGTGTGTCTTCAATGTGGGCTCGGCTCCTTTTCAGAATCTAATGCGTCATTCTGTACATTATGTCCTCCTGGAATGTTTTGCCCCCACCCAGCGTCAGTTTTTCCTTGTCCTATCGGATCCTTTTCTACAGGTAACTCCACTTTTTGCACAACTTGTCCGGAAGGCTCCTTTTGTCCAATGAAAGCTAATCATCCACAACTTTGTGAGGGTGATGAATTGTGTACGCTTGGATCCAAAAGTCCTTCCAAATGTAAACCAGGACAATATGTGAATCATGTAAATTTGACGTGCATGGATTGTCCCGCTGGCTACTTTTGTCCAAATCCTTCATTTCTGCCGCAGATATGTGCACCAGGGACGTTCTCGTTACAGTCCTATACAGCATGCAGCCCATGCCCTGCTGGATATTATTGCTGCTCTACCAATTGCGCACCTTGTGAAAGCGCTTTGAGAAGTGTCGATCTGCAGTCTGATCTGAACCACACTGAGGTGTCTGGGTCGAATAGCTCTAGCATTGATCAGTGTTGGCAGCGATGTCCAGCTGGAAGTTACTCGCTAGGATATCAAACTGTCTGCTCTTCGTGCCCGGCTGGGATGCAGTGTCCTGAGGGCAATAGTGTTGGAAGCCCCTGTGCAGATGGATTCTACTCTGTGGGAAATCAGACCGCATGTCTGGTTTGTCCAGCAGGATCTCATTGTAAGGTGAAAGAAGAATATCCCCTCAAATGCCAAGCAGGCAGCTTTTCCATTGAAGGTTCAGCGTTCTGTACAGTGTGCCCTCCTGGAAGTGAATGCCCCTGGGTGGGTATGAGTTTCCCGTTGTTCTGTTCTGAGGGAACATGGAGCGCTGAGAACAGCACAAGTTGTGCAGAATGTCCCGCTGGTTCCATGTGCAAAGATTCTGCCTCAGAACCAGCCATGTGTACAGAAGGAAGCTGGTCACTTGCAGGGTCTACATTTTGCGCCGCTTGCCCTTTGGGTTTCGCCTGTCCGCAGAAGAATTCCAGCACGATTGACCCATGTCAACCAGGAACGTTCTCGCTACAGGGTCACAGCACATGTTCTCTTTGCCCTGCAGGATACGAATGTCCCACTGGAGTAGAGTTACCTTCTCCATGCCTGCCAGGAAGATATTCCACAGGAGGCCTTTCAGAGTGCATCTCGTGTCCGGCTGGGAATATGTGTCGAAATTCCTCCAGTGCACCAATTCCATGTCAAGATGGTTGGTATAGTGATGATGGCATGACCGCATGCTTATCGTGTCCAGCGGCATATGAATGTCCTTATGCTGAATATGCACCATCTCCTTGTCCGACAGGGCAATGGAGCCCAGAGAAAGAAAGTCTTTGTCGGTCTTGTGATGCTGGATTTCTCTGTAGATTTCCAGCAACAGAACCTGCACCTGCCAAAGACATCTGTCCGTTGGGTGGATATTGTGATGGCTCAAGCTTTATTCCTTGCCCTGCAGGGACATTCAACAATGTATTGGGTGCTACCAGTTCCCTCGAGTGCAACACCTGTCCAGCAGGCTTTTATTGCTTGGAGCAAAGCGAAAATTATATCTCAAGCTTATGTCCTCCTGGATTTTATTGTCCCTCTGGCACCAAATTTGGTACTGAGTATCCTTGTCCTTCAGGAACCTACAGCGATCAAACAGGGGCTCAGACATCAGATGTGTGCGAAATATGCCCTGAAGGGAATTTTTGCCCATCAGGATCTTCAAGCAGCAATATCATGCCTTGCCCTGCTGGATCCTTTTGTCCAGCTGGATCTTCTTCTCCATCACCCTGCCCAGGAGGATATTACTTGAGTAGAGGCTCAGGGAATTCGATTCAAGAGTGCGTTGTATGTACGCCTGGTCATTACTGTCCGCAGGGCAGCTCATGGCCATATTCTTGTCCAATGGGTACTTTTTCTCCAAAAGAGGGAAATGCAGCTCAAGCTCAATGCATACCTTGTACAGCAGGATTTGCATGTTCACAACCAGGGCTGTCTCTTCCAAACGTCGAATGCTCTCTCGGCCACTTTTGTCCTAGGGGTACGGTCTATCCTACCCAGGTTCCTTGTCCTGCAGGTTATTACAATGAGAATTCCACTGCATTGATTCAGGAAGCAGATTGTCTCATCTGCCCAGCAAGATACGCATGTCTGGCTGGTACTGGTGATCCAACACAGCCCATCTTACCTTGTGCTAGAGGGCATTTCTGTCCGGAGGGAACTATGTTTCCGACACAGTACCCGTGCCTGCCAGGCACATTTTCGCCGCAGGCATCTCTTGCTTCTGAGGCTGAATGCTGGCCATGTCCACCAGGGTATTTCTGTGCTGGAGGGCAGTCTAATGTTACCGGTGAGTGTCCAGCTGGTTACTTCTGCCCCGAGAAGACTGGAGATTTTCTCCTGTTTCCATGTCCTGCTGGAACCTATGGTGGATCAAAAGGATTTACAACTTCAGATCAATGTCTGCCATGTCCGGAGGGCTACTTTTGTCCGGAGGGAAGCAAGTCTCCTTTTCCATGCTTGGAGGGAACTTTCTCAGCTTTGTCAAGAACGGAAAGAGCAGGTTCAAGTGTTTCGAGTTTGAACTCTGAAAGTACTCTTTCATATTTTTGGAATTCAGGAATAGCCGTTTCTATGAATCTCTTTAGTTCATATCCTGAATGTACATCTTGTCTATCCGGGTACTATTGCCCTGACAAAGGCATGACTGCACCTGTCCCTTGTGGAGTGGGCAAGTATTCATTTGAAGGGCAATCCATCTGCAGCCTATGTCCAGCTGGTCACTTCTGTGATGTTGGGAATACTAGCGGCATTGAACTGGAAGCCAAAACGTGTCCTGGTGGAATGTATTGCCCCTCTGGAACAAGTGTTGTACCAGAATGGTCAAATTTCAGTTGTCAAGTTGGATATTACTGTCCTGAGGGTACAGACAGAATGATACCATGTCCTGCTGGGACATATGTGAAAATCACAGGTGCCGCGAGCTTGAAAGATTGTGATACCTGTCCGCCATCTTATTGGTGTGGTTTTGGTACGAGTGACTGGTCACAGCAAATGTGTTCTCCTGGGTATTTTTGCCCGCCTGGATCACAAAAAAGTACTCAGATACCATGTCCTGCTGGAACTTATCGCTCAGAAACCGGAGCCGCCAATTCATCTCATTGTTCTGCGTGTCTTCCAGGCTATTTTTGCCCTGGAGCAACCGTCTTCCCATTGTTGTGCCCAAAAGGCAGCTTTTGCCCCTCGAGTAGCCCTTTGCCATCCATGTGTCCTCTTGGGACTTATAGCAATGTTAGTGGCTTGGATAGACAGTCTCAATGTCAGCCATGTACTGGAGGAATGTATTGCAATGGCTATGGATTGACTAAGCCTTCAGGCAAATGTCTCGATGGGTATTTCTGCCCTCCTGGTTCGAAATCACCAACTCCTCCTAACGGATTATGCCACCCCGGCTCGTTCTGTCCAAATGGGACAGAATTCCCACTACCTTGCCCTCCAAGGACTTTCAACCCTACAATTGGTGCAAGTGACATATTTGCTTGCATTCCATGCTCACCAGGTATGTATTGCAGCGAGGAGAACAATACCATACCAGATGGACCTTGTAGCGCAGGTTTCTTTTGCCTAGGGGGATCGAATTCTAGTTCACCTGAAGGAACGTTTGGAAACATATGCCCGACCGGTTCGTTTTGCCCTACAGGATCCTACATTGGAATCGACTGTTTACCAGGAACATTTTCATCCAGTCTCGGTAGTAGCTCATGTTCTATCTGTCCTGAAGGATATCATTGCACATCTTTTGGTACTAGCAATCCCTCTGATTGCCCAGTTGGCCATTATTGTCCTCTTGGAACGATCATTCCAAATGCATGTCCCTTAAGTACGTACAATGGTAACTTGAAAGCCGCTTCTTTGTCAGAATGCAAGCTGTGCCCATCTGGGCAATTTTGCCCATCCAATGGACTTCAACATAATACGGGCTTCAAGTGCTTGGCAGGAATATTCTGCGAGGCAGGGGCGAATGACTCGTCGACGCTCGTCGACGCGGAGTCGCCCTCAGGGCGGCGGAGAGTCATACCGTGTCCAGCGGGGCACTACTGCATAGCAGGGTCCGAGGCACCCTCGCCTTGTCCTCCAGGGACCTACTGTGCAGGCGGAGACTCTCTACCCGCTCCGTGCGAGCCCGGGACGTACAACCAGGAAGCGATGCAGACGAGCTGCAAGCCATGTCCGCCCGGGTACATCTGTAGCCCAGGCGCAGTCGTGGACTATGCGAGAGGGCGAGCGTATGCAGTAGAGGGGCTCGAGGCGTGCGCCGATCCTGACGTCGGGATGCCGAGCTGGACGCAGGAGCTGGTCGGAGGGGCGGCCAGTCTGATAGGCGGGGTAGCGCATGGACGGGACGACAGCCTGTATGTCAGCGTGAGCGTGTGGAACAATAGCGGGGGCCAGGGAGGTCAGGGGAGATACGAGGTCTACGTAACCAAGCACAGGGTGGACGGGACCGAAGTGTGGAGAAGGGAAGTAGCAGGAGGCGAAGGAAGCACCATGGCGGAGGGGATCGGAGTAGACGAGGCGGGGAGTGTGTACGTAGGCATGCGGTGGGAGACAGGGTCCAGGGTATGGAAGCTAGACAGTTGCGGACATGAAGAGTGGTCAAGGGACCTGGGAGAGATGATGGCTGGGAGCCGGCTGGGGCTTGCTGGGGGGCAGGATCACGTGTTTGTATCTTGGCGGGGGGCGGGTGGAGGCTCATGGGTGTATAAGTACAGCGGGAACGGAAGCTTAGCCTGGGGCAGGAACGTAAGCGTGAGAGGGGATGAAAGCATCAGAGCAGTAGCAAGCGACGGTGCTGGAGGAGCAGTCGTAGTAGGCGAAGTGTACAACGGGTCTGCGGGAGCTGCACAGGAGCGGGATGTCTATGTCTACCATGTCAACAAGACGGGGTCCATTGATTGGACGGAGGTACTGCAGTGGGCAGGAGAGCAGGTCGCCAGAGGAGTGACAACAGACAGGCTGGGGAGGACAATAGTGGTAGGGTATACAGGATCGGTCGGGACCGGAGAAGGGAGCAGCGGTACAGGCAGTGACTTCATATCAGCATCGCGGGTCAGGCTTGTAGGAGCGGAGTGGACAGGAGCGCTTGAGCAGAGGGACGCTTTTCTTGCCGTGGTTTCTGCAGAAGGCAAGGAGCGATGGAGGGCCGTGGTGGGGTCGGAGTGGAACGAGGAAGGGGAGTCGGTGAGCACAGACGCGTACGGGGGCATATACCTCCTGGGGTACACGGACATGCCAGCAGAGCAAGGGAGCATACAGGCAGGGAGCTACAGCGCTTTCGTTATGAAGCTGAACGCTTACGGAGAGCGGGGGTGGACGAGGGTCGTAGCAGGGGAGCGCATGGGCGGATTGGGAGGGATCATAGCCGAGGGGAGCAGCGGGCTGGAGGTAGCTGTCGTACTCAACACGAGCAACCAAGGACAGGGAGTCCAGGTGTCAGCTTTCTCGTCGTCAGCAGACTGCAGGGGAGTAGGAGACATTGGCAGCCTCGTATGTCCCTTGGGGCACTACTGTCCGGAAGGCATGGAGAACCTTGAGGCCGGACGGTGTCCGCGGGGCACGTACGGAGGGCAGGAGGGGCTTGCAAATGTGTCGCAGTGCACGAGCTGTCCTGCTGGGATGTACTGCAACGATACTGGTCTCGATGGTCCTTCTGGTCTTTGTTCAGAAGGATATTTTTGTTCGCTTGGTTCTGCGGATCAGTTCGCGCTTAGTTGTGATAACAGAATGTATTTTTGCGCAGATCTGAATTGCACGTATTTTCACTATCAAGAATTTCCTATTTCTTGTGGAGGAATTTGCTCAACTGGAATGTATTGTCCTGCTGGGACACAAGCAGAACAAGCTTGTCAAGCTGGATATTATTGTGTTCCCAATACGCGAATATCAGGACCTTGCGATGCTGGTTATTACTGTTCACTTCCTGGAGGCTCGTTCCGTGCTCCTGATGGTTCCACTCAAGGATTTGGACCTTGTCCAATTGGTTTTTATTGTCCAGCAGCAACTGTAGCTCCCAAACCCTGTCCGATAGGAACGTTTTCAAACAAGACGAAACTGACGAAAATTGACGATTGCTACAACTGCCCACCAGGCTACTACTGTGACGAATTCAACCTAACAACACCAAAAGCTTGTGAAGCTGGATTCTTCTGCCTTGAAAACACTGACGTCCAGTATCCCAACACCACAATGTGTCCAATTGGCAATGAATGTCCCGCAGGTCGGTTTTATCCCAAACCATGCAGTGCAGGTTACTACCAAGATCAAGTAGGCCAGAGCGCCTGCAAGGTGTGTAAGCCTGGATACTTCTGTCCCGGTACGCTCTCAGCCTCCGGACCAGACGGCACTGTCCTATGTCCGTCGGGGTCCTACTGCCCTTCTGGAACCAGCGTTGCACATCCTTGCAGCCCCGGGACGTACGGGCCTTCACCAGGGCTGGCCGCTTGCCAGGGGTGCCCGAGCGGGAAAGCATGCGTACAGCCAGGGACCATCCAACCGACGGTATGTCCAGCAGGACACTACTGCGAGTCGAACTGCTCGTCGCCTACTCCGTGTCCCATCGGCACATACAGCAGCTCGCTCGGACTCGAGGCAGAGTCTGAGTGCCGCCTGTGTCCGGCGGGTCGGTACTGCGCCTCAGTAGGTATTACACAGAGCACGGGGGAGTGCATAGCGGGGATATTCTGCGAGGCAGGGGCGAATGACTCGTCGACGCTCGTCGACGCGGAGTCGCCCTCAGGGCGGCGGAGAGTCATACCGTGTCCAGCGGGGCACTACTGCATAGCAGGGTCCGAGGCACCCTCGCCTTGTCCTCCAGGGACCTACTGTGCAGGCGGAGACTATCTACCCGCTCCGTGCGAGCCCGGGACGTACAACCAGGAAGCGATGCAGACGAGCTGCAAGCCATGTCCGCCCGGGTACATCTGTAGCCCAGGCGCAGTCGTGGACTATGCGAGAGGGCGAGCGTATGCAGTAGAGGGGCTCGAGGCGTGCGCCGATCCTGACGTCGGGATGCCGAGCTGGACGCAGGAGCTGGTCGGAGGGGCGGCCAGTCTGATAGGCGGGGTAGCGCATGGACGGGACGACAGCCGGTATGTCAGCGTGAGCGTGTGGAACAATAGCGGGGGCCAGGGAGGTCAGGGGGGATACGAGGTCTACGTAACCAAGCACAGGGTGGACGGGACCGAAGTGTGGAGAAGGGAAGTAGCAGGAGGCGAAGGAAGCACCATGGCGGAGGGGATCGGAGTAGACGAGGCGGGGAGTGTGTACGTAGGCATGCGGTGGGAGACAGGGTCCAGGGTATCGAGTCTTGCGGCCTCGACATGAAGAGTGGTCAAGGGACCTGGGAGAGATGATGGCTGGGAGCCGGCTGGGGCTTGCTGGGGGGCAGGATCACGTGTTTGTATCTTGGCGGGGGGCGGGTGGAGGCTCATGGGTGTATAAGTACAGCGGGAACGGAAGCTTAGCCTGGGGCAGGAACGTAAGCGTGAGAGGGGATGAAAGCATCAGAGCAGTAGCAAGCGACGGTGCTGGAGGAGCCAGTCGTAAGTAGGCGAAG